TTCTGAGCATCAAGAATTGCTTGCCCTCAGGCCGGAGATATCGTTCGTAAGCAGATAATGAACATTACCCATAGCCTTAGCATCGAGACAGGAGCTACGGATGCTGCATTGTTGCTGCTCCTATGCGAATTGAATGGAGGAGTTATTTAATGTAGATTAGCTAAGCCAGATCGCATATACTGAGCAGTAGATAGCCTGTAGGATTGCATGGTTGTGTTTAGTCTAACACGGTTTGAGAAAATGGGGGGCAAGTCAGGCTGGATGGCACTGCCTCCGGGCACAGCTGGTGAAATTCTGCAATTCAAACCAGGCCAAAATCAGCAATTGTTATCCAAGCATGGAATATGAGCTGCTCTAATAATGAATTTACCCAACATAGATAACCAAGTGAGGCGCCTTACAAATCTATTAATGAATGGAACTGAAGAACGCCCTTGTAAATGATGTTGGCAGTTGCCTCATGTGTCACAAAAACATGATTGTTACCTTGACCAGTGTTTTCCCCACAGAAACATGAAACAACAATTGGGTACATTCATTAAAAAGGTAGTAGAGGCATAGCTGGCAAGGATGACAGTATTTTAGCCATATGTCTGTGAACCACTGATTATTAAAATACCCCCCAAACCTACAGAAGGGTGGTTATCATACAGGTCAATCATGCCACTCTACTGTATGTTTGAATTAATTATATCTCCATTATGTCTGTACACAACACCGAAAACTGTGGATCCATTGCTCTTCCCTAAATGCCCCTCATGTCTGCTCCCTATCTTCTAAGCTCAGCAAAGCTGTTCATTAGTGATCTAGTAGATCATAGCAGTCACACTATTAGACCTTGCTGTTGACATAAAGCTCCCAGGGTGAACTGGCACACAGTGTTCGATTTATTTATATGTACTCAATATGCTGCGTCTTTATAATTAATGGCAAATGATGATTCTAGCTGCTCATTGTAAAATAAGGAGATGCCATACCATTATCACACAGAAGAGATCAGGACTGGGGCTCGGATCTGCAGCCCTTCTCCAAGCTCACCATATCATGGAGTGCTCTATAAATCGGAGAGGTCCAGAAGCCTGGATACAAGGGAACTTCCCTGGGGAATAACACACATGCCAATTTAAGATGTCTAAGCAAGGAAAGCAGTTCTCTTTTGGAAATACTACTGCCTGCTGCTTTCATTACCTCTCTGATGCGATTTGCATCAGTACACTATCTAGAGTGAAGCCTAGAACTCTAGCTTTACAGGGTCTGATGTTTCTCCTTGGAAAGCGGAAGACCTAATGTTTAAAAGGTATATTTAAGAGCAAAAATGCATGGTCTGATTTTGAATTGATAGTCAACTAACAGAAAACCGTCTACGAGATGGAGCACGAAAGCAGTTGCAGTTATTAAAAGAATCCAGCAGAGAGCCTCTGACAAGTGTCAAATATGTGGGGCTGCTGTAACAACTAAAGGTGAGCCTAACTGAGAAGTAAATTTCTCTTCATTTAAACCGAACAGATACCAATGTGAAGGTGTAATACATGACTTAAATGCATCTGTGACATCTGCCTTGGCTAGCCATGTGCCTCTACATGCTTCTTTAATCAACTGATGGCATTGTAGATTATAGCATAAAATAAGGAAAAAGTGCCAGAGGATTTAAACTATTTATACCTTAGTTTCACTTGCAAGAGCAGATAAATTAATAATTATGTTTATTTATTTTCCCTGAATATCCTGGTAGCTATACCTTAATGCTTGTTGAGAAGGCGATTTATGAATGGACCAATATGAACCTTGTTAACCTTTCTTCAGTAAAGCATCGACTATGTCAGCTCTTCAAAGCAGATTGTAGGTTTGCAACCAAGTCAGCCCAGCAAGGAACCATGAACCAGCCCTATAACAGAATGCTTTCTTAGCGCCTTCCCCAGCTCAGGGACGTTTACTGGGGTTGAAGGTTTATCTCTCATGCCCCCTTTTTGAGAGGCAGCACGTTCTTCCCTATGGTGATTGGGACTCCACTTCCCAGCATTCTCGGCGGAAATGTGACGCCGTCAAAACAAGCTGCTGTGACGTCATCGTCAAGCGCTGCACCTGTGGGACCACGCGCTCTACCTGCAGACAGCGAGGAGGGAAACAGGCCAACTGCGGACGAAGACTGGCCGGCCTGACGTGCCGAACCGAACCCTGGACCCTTGAACCAATGACGGCAAGCGACAACCGGATGTTGGACAGAGCTGACAAGCAAGACAGGTGGAGCCGGCCGCTGCGCCTGGGACCCGCGCTCCCCTGGAAGGCAGCGCAGCGCAGCGCAGCGCCGGAGCCGGGACCGGGACCGCAGCGGAGCCCCCTTCTGCGGACCCTCCAGACCAGAGCAGCCGGACACAACTGCGGATGTTGTTCAAAGCGACACTCTCCCCAACAGCCGAGATCGCTGCTGAGACTTCACAATGCAATCGACCCGCCATCATACTCACCGCAGACAGGACAAGTAGAAACAACCGACAAACCACAAGTAACGCTCACAACATCCTGGCAAAAAGGCTTGTAGAGGGAGCAGCAGAGATAGGCAGGCAGGCTAAAGCAGCTTAAATAAGGCGCCATGCATGATGTTTGCCAATTGGATGCTTGAGGAAATCAGGTGAGCTGTCAGCTGACTGTGTATGGTATCCAATGGGAAGCTTAGAGGAATCAGCTGATGTATGTTTATGACTAGCTGTGCTCGTATGATATAGCTGTAACTGAAAGCTAAGCCTGACTTCGTGCCCTGCCTGAACTAACGCTATGCTCAATTTCCCTTCTGGGAACCAATAAAAGCTTATCTCGTCTAAATATAGACCGGCAAACACCGTTCATGAATCGAAGCCTTTGTAAATGCTTTTTCACGAGGTAAGTGAAAATGAGAAAAAGAGTCCAAAGATGTTAGTTTCTTAAAACTTTAAAAGATCATGATCAGAAATGGTAGTGTTGTGTCAAATTAGAAGAAAGTTTGATGTCCCATAAAAAGACCAAAAGCAATGATGAATTGATCCTTCTTACAAATGCTGTCTTTGTTGTCACAGCCTGATATACAGGGATTAAACGGGACTGGCACCAGCACATAGGCCTTAGCTCTTCTATGCCATCAGGCATAGTCCGGCCACTCTGAGGACTGTAAGAATGATGGGACAGAAATGTGTCCCCAAATCAGAGAGCTCCCCGGCATAACAAATTCAAATTTAACCCCATCTTATTCCTCTGTGCTGTATACTATTGTCCACAAACAAGGGCATAGTAACTTTTGTTTGAAAAGCGCGGCATGTGGTAGTACTAAATATGCTTAAGAATTATAGTTTGGTTTAAAGGTTTTGAATCAAAGTTCATTACTGACCATGGATTTCGTGGTTTAACAAAACATTCCCAACTCAAGGTCCATTTACTGGATTTTCAGAAGCTCTCAACCATATCATGCAGTTTTTATCATAAGGTCAGATGCATCTCTGGGACAGGTGAGCAAACTCCATCTGCTAATGAAGACCCATATAAAAGAAGGTTGTTGCCAAAATATTGCCGCAGCCATCTTTTGCCATTCGGAGCTAGAGTCTCCAGTGACAAGTGAGGAAACTCTATCAGTTGAGGAAGGAAAGCACTATAAATGGCTAGTAAATTGACCTTGATATTTGACCGAATATTTCAAGTCTTCTTTAAAGTTTCACACCTACACTCAAAGGATCTGCATCACATAACACTGTGTCTCCAAACCTCACTGAAAATAATAAAGCTTTGACTTACACCTAATAAATTAATTCTTCTGACTTTGACCTGACAGTCAGACATACTTTTATCAGAGTACTACAGAGATAAAATCATGGCCAGAGATAGCCAAGGAGATATTTTATATACTCTTTGTTGTAAAACCTTTTTATTCTTGCTCATGTTTCCTTAATGACAACCCATAAAACTATTAAAACCCTGTGGCATTGAACATATTGTTCTTGGTATATTTTTAATAATGCAATCAATCTCAAAAGATAGTTAGAGTCATGTGATGAACCTTTAAACTCTGGCCATATCTATACCTGTGCATTCTTAGCTTTATAACACATATGGCATTTCCACATTTTGGTCACATCTAAGGAAATGCTGCACATTTTAACAAGTAGGCATGAAGAGGACAATGAACTGCAGCTGACCCCAGTGTGTTCCAAATGGTCATGACAGCAAAATATATATAGCCTATTATCTAGGGGTTGTGGTATTACAGTGTTGTATAGGTGAAGAAGGTTGACTCTGGTTTCACAAGCGGGCGTACCACCTCATTGTACGCGCGCTTGAAAATAACGTCTACTACGCAGAGTCAAACATGACTTTTTGGAAATACTCCTCAAACATAAAAAAATTAAATGTTTATTAGAGTTTTGATTTGTTTTCAAATGAGTTTAAAACAATATAAAACTATGGTGTACACAAATAATCTTTATAGAATAATAGTATATTTTGGCAGTTAGCAATAATGCACAATAAGGTGTCCTAATATTAAGTCTTTTGGTTCTCTATTTGGTTTTGTTCCTTTATTAAACCCTCTGTAATTTTAACCTCTGTACTGTAACCATACCTGTAATGTAACATTAGCTCAGCACTGTTATAAAACAGAACAGATTGAACTATTCCTGGTACTATGTTAGAGGAGTCTGACAGTGACACTTGCCATACGTTGACAGATACCTGCAAGCCAATCAGAAATAAGTGCTTTCTGTGACCATGCTATAAAACAAATGAATGTTCTGTAACATTCAGTTTTGAAAATGTATTCTATTGTCACTTGAACCATTTAAAACTTGTTAACAGGCAACAAACTTGTTACTGACAGATTGTTACAGTATAAAGTTGATATGGTGAACGTGTTATTTATATATCCAGCAGACCCAGTCTGTAATCTTATGCATAGTGTTTGACAAATACAAATGTATCACCGCCTCGGATAGTACTGCATTTCTGTGCATTTATTCTACAGCAGGGTAATTTCAATTAAATTTTTCAATTCAATTTTATTTGTATAGCGCCAATTCATAACAGAAGTTATCTCAGGACACTTTTCAAATAGAGCAGGTCTAGACCGAACTCTTTAAACATTATTTACAGAGACCCAACAGTACCACCATGAGCAAGCACTTGGCGACAAGGGCAAGGAAAAACTGCCTGTTAAAAGGCAGAAACCTAGGACAGATCCTCCGGCTCTAGGTGGGTGGTCGTCTGTCTCGACCAGTTGGGGTGAGAGAGAGAGAGAGAGAGAGAGAGAGAGAGAGAGAGAGAGCAGAGAGAGAGAGAGCGAGAGACAAACAGACAGGTGCACAGCAACAACAGTATTGGCAATGGCAATGTAGCAGGACCATGGCAGGAGGCTCCACCAGGATCGACAAGAACCTGCGAGACGAGAAAGCACAAGAACTCCGGGGAAGAAGTGAAGTTAGTAACATGCATTAATGGAACATGAATGAGTGCAGAAAGAGAGAGGAAGGGAGGAGCTCAGTGCACCATGGGAAATCCCCCAATAGTCTAGGCCTATAGCAGCATAACTAAGGGATGGTTCAGGACTCACCTGATCCAGCCCTAACTATAAGCTTTATCAAAGAGGAATGTCTTAAGCCTACAAAACTGAACTCCTTATAACATTTACAGAGACCCAACAGTACCACCATGAGCAAGCACTTGGCGACAGCAGCAAGGAAAATGTTCCTTTTAAGAGCCAGAAACCTAGGACCGATCCTTCTGCTCTAGGTAGGTGGTCGTCTGCCCCGACCAGTTGGAGGGAGACAGACGACAACGATGGGGGACAATGAGCAGTGATTATAGTAATAATAGTATCTGTAGTAATAATACTAGTAATAATAACAAAAAATAGATTAGATTAGATTAGATTAGATAGATACTTTATTCATCCCCAAGGGGAAATTCACAATATCAGTGATATTAGCAATGGCAGTCAAGCAGGACCATGGCAGGAGGCTCCACCAGGATCCATGAGAACCTGCGAGACGAGAAAGCACAAGAACTCCGGGGAAGAAGTGAAGTTAGTAACATGCATCAATGGGACATGAATGAGTGCAGAAAGCGGAAGAGAGGAGCTCAGTGCATCATGGGAAATCCCCCGATAGTCTAGGCCTATAGCAGCATAACTAAGAGATGGTTCAGGACTCACCTGATCCAGCCCTAACTATAAGCTTTATCAAAGAGGATCCAAGATTCCTGACAGTGGTGCTTGAGGCCAAGGTCATAGCATCTAGAGTAACAATATCCATTGTTAATGTCAAAAAGACAGATCAGAGCAGTTAATAGAACCCAGAAATGAGTTAGCATTTTAGCCTCCCCACTGTAGGCTAACATTAGCTTTTTACTTCTGGCAATCATATTTACACTTCACAAATCATAAAAGTGTTTATTTTCTGCAATAATCCAAAATTGGCTTTTTGTAGAAGAAACCATGGTGAAACTACGAAAAGACTTCATGTATACTATACAACAAGGAAAGGGAGTCAGTCCCCTTTTCCAGAGAACTAAAAGCCACAAAATATGACAAAACAAAAGGTTTTTATGTGTGTAAGGAGACAGATATTAATATATGATAAGCCAGGGCAAACCATTGTCTGGACTTACAGCTATTTCTTCAGGTATAGTGAACTAGTATGAACACAGAATATTAATTTTGAATATTAATTTAGAAGAAAACAGACTGAAGTGACTGCTTAACCTATAGTGTGGCTGTACTATTTTGGAGTCAGTGTATATATTTTATATCAAACCAAAGAGTTTGAAATTGGATGATGTCCCTGCCAAAGTACAATATAAAAGCAAACACCTTCTTTAAAAGGTTTGTAAACATTTTTTAACTGAGTGGAAGGGCAGAAGGTTGATTTAGAGATAAAGAGCTGCAGTAACTGGAAGGGTTAAGAGCTGCAAATGGATCCCATCTTTCATAACTCTTCTCCCTTCCTGTTCATGATGACTGTGTTTTACAGCTGTGGCACCATAAAAGCACATTCATAAAATGGTAGGATTATGGAAAACAGCCCCTCTGTTAAAGTCTAACCACAGAATAGAACATGAGATAGATCACTTGGAGATAATGTGAAATGATGGGAACAACAATATTATTATTCTTTACTTAAAAAAACACAGAAGAATATAGTATAACATACCCTGTTCCATCACATTTAACTGCCAAGAAGTGCACGTCCACGTCCTGCTCTCACGCTTTCCTCAGGTGGTCCAGCATTTGTAGATTTCTAGACCAAAGCATAGATAGAATTCAATTCAGTTCAATTCAATTCAATTTTATTGGTATAGCGCCAATTCACAACAGAAGTTATCTCAGGTAACTTTTCAAATAGAGCAGGTCTAGACCGAACTCCTTATAACAGACCAAACTCCTTATAACAAGGAAGAGAGTAGGCCCTTAGTTTTGGGAGTGAAATCTAGAAGGCAGTCAACTGGAGATGTTGGGGATGACTGTGGGAGGGAACAGAAACTGTAAGTAAAATGTCTTTTCTCCAGGTACTGAAAGAATTGTGTCCTTAATAGAGTGAAACAGTCTAAGCTGGTCAAAATAAGGGAAAATATCATCAGAAAATAAATCTTTTATGCATCAGATTCCATTTATGCCACAGTTGAAAATCTGCATCTGTATAAAAAGGAGTAAGATCAATGCTTTGTATCTAAAATGTTACCTAAACTGGGACCAAATTTGTATTGAATGAGAAATAATAGGGTTGGACGTGAAGTAAAACTCAAAAGAAGTGAGAGAGAACGGGCTGTAAGGTTTCTCCTCTCCTCTTTGGTCAGTTGCTCCATCTCTACGTATGCTAAAACTTGAAGTCAAGCTTAATCAAAAAATCGTTGATATTTCTCTGTATGTCCAGTCTTGATGTGAAGCTAGCACTGATTGCTCTGGCTATGTATTTACTCTGAATGCAAGAGAGTGCTATCAATCTATAACTCAACAAGAAAGCAAATAACCATTTCCCAAAATATCAAACTATTCCTATTGCTTTAAAGGACCAGTGTGTAGGATTTAGCGGTATCTAGTAGTGGCAGATTGCAACCAACTGAATTCCGCTCGCCATCCAAGCGTCTATGGTGGCTGTAAAAACTCACAAAAAGCAAGGCCAGTGTTTGAACTAATTTCAAATATCTTAGTATTAACAAATAGAATCTATTGAACACCATCCAGGCTGCACAAGGTTGGTTGAATGCTGGAGGTGTCGGGACAAAAATGGTACTCTAGTACACATGCTCTGGAGTTGCCCAAAAATTCAGGCATTTTGGTCTTCCCTACATGCAATCGTAGAGAAAATGATCTACCAGAATATCCCGTTCACCCCTAGTCTGTTTATTTTGGGTGACCCCTCTGCATTAAGTGATCTGACCCCTCCACTTTCTAACTGGACCCAGACTGTCCTCATGTTAGGCCGGAAACTTCTGGTCAAAGAATGGAAAGCCTCCTCTGCACCAGCACTATCTTTGTGGCACACCTCTCTAGGTCAGCTGGCTGCCCTAGAACAATTGCCCTATAGGTTGCTTGATAAAGTGGAGGAACTTGAAATGGGGGAAGTATCATTCGTACACTTAGGACATTTAATGGCGTTCCGGCTCATAAACATAGCATTTAACTAGAAATCATGACTGAGGGATACATTTTGATAGAATACTGTACCCATATACAGGCAAGGTTGTAAACTCAAGTGCTCTGTGCATCACTGTCTTTTTTATTTTTATTTTATAAAATGTATTTTTAGTTTAGTTTTTGTCGATGGTCGTGTACGTCTTCCTTTCATTCTATTTGGTTGTATGTGTACTTGCTTCATTTTTCTGTTGTTTGTATGTTTAAATTTTCTGAAAAACCAATAAAGTCTTAATCATAAAAAAAATATCTTAGTAAAAAAAGTAAATTGTGTAGTTTTTATCTACATTAAGATAAATTGATAATCTTCTAGTTCCTCTGATTAACTTCTGAAAACCTTTGTTAACACTTCTTGTGCATGCCTCAGTCACAGCAGACAAAATATTTAACTTTTGTTAAGTTAAAAGTACAACAAAAGTAAAGTTAAAAGTCAGTAATTATCACTATGACAAAGTAGGTTTTGTCTTCAAAAAGTGAGGCTGGTATTTACAATCCCACTGTTAATGTATCACCTAGAACAGTAAATGGGAGGGGAGATGCTACCCATGGCTACATATAGAAGTTCACCTTCCACTCTTGCATGCAGTGTGTCAGTGTGGGGCAGACAACATGGGGAAAGGTTTCTTCATCAGTAAAGCTGTTGGGATAGCGGCTATCATCGTGGGCGCAGGGGCCCTGGCTACTATCATAGCTCTGTCTGTCGTTTACTCACAGGAAAAAGCAAAAAATAATGATAATGTCTTGCCAACGGATGGAGGAACAACATCCAAACCACCTGTCACAACAACTGCCCCATCCAATGAACCTTGGGACAAGTATCGGCTGCCAAAGAGCCTGGTGCCGGACCACTATAATGTCACCCTATGGCCACGATTGAAACAGAACTTGACAACTGGACTCTTCATCTTTACTGGTAAGATTTTATGCATAGCCAGATGTTTTTCTTTCTTACAAAGTAGTTGCATTCACCTGGTATTCAGGGTGGAAATCCAATGGAGTTTGGAGGCATTCCTTAAACAGGAAAAGGAATGGAGATAAAGACCGATAGAAGGTTGATAAGTTACAGCTGTATAATGTATATGGGTATAATGTAAAAAAAATAAAAACAAGGATTGAAAAAGAAACCTTTGGATCCTTACTCGAATATGTCTTCTTAATTTCTTTGAAAATGCATTTTTAAGTCCCTGTCCACACCTGATGCACCCATAAAGGTTCGTAAAGTTTCATACGGTCATTAAATATATATATATATATACACAACATACTTTTTTGTTTTTTATATAAGTTACAAGTTACAGTGACAGCATGCAATGATGGACATTTCTGCAAATGTGCCAGTTTAGCCATCCTGGTAAATTTTCAACTACAGTCCCTGGGAAGGTGTTATGACACCTATAAACCTTTGGTAACAACAACCTGGGAGAATTTGGTCACACCCAGACAGTCCTTCTAAATATGTTTATAAAGCCAAAATAGTGGCGTGTGCAGGGGCTTTAAATTTGCTGTTACATACTATTACCTATACTCATGAACTCCACACTCCAGAGCACATATTTGTCTGTTGTGTGATCTAAGTGAATCTAAGAATTAGGTTAACTTTTAAGAATCTACTTTTTAGTCAATTATGATTATGAATTATGATAAATTTGAGTTGTGTTTCAGGAAGAGAACCTTTTTGATATCAAATTTTATTTGCCAAGCTTGGGAGAGAGCAGTTGTTCTGGAGCTTTTCTGGACCACATTTTATGGTCATTTTCAATTAATAAATTAAATTACTTACATGAAGTCTTATTTGGTGTGTTTGTTGCAGTAACTCATAGATATACATTACATTTAGCATCCTATAAGAAAACATCCACTGTTCCAAAATGTTAGCTTTTCACAAACTAAAAAAACAGCCCTGATTTGCTTTGTGACTTTGTTTTTTTCAGATAAGGTTTTATATGATTTATTTAGCATACAAAGTAGGGGGACCCATAAAGGAAACCTTAATCCTACAATCCTTTCATGTACCCTTCCTTTCCCGTGCTAAACTCGTCTATGTTGAAAGTACAACCAAATTTTTAAAATTTTAAAACGATAACAGCAACATTTTCCAATCTTGAGTTAGCAAATGTTACCAAAATGCAAGCTATTAAGCTAGCTTTCAATTAACATAGATTAGCTATATAGTTGACTAGTGGTTTTCTAACAGAGAGGAGCAGAGCGGGTCGTCCTTGGTTCGATCCCTGGCTCCTCCTGCTACATGTCGAAGTATCATTGAGCAAGATACTGAACCCCAAATTGCTCCCGATGCCGTGCATCAGTGTGTGAATGAGTTAGTTTCTGTTCGATGGGCTTTGCCATCACTGTGTGAATGTGTGTGAAAGGGTGAATGTGGCATGTAGTGTAAAAGTGCTTTGAGTGGTTGGAAGACTAGAAAGGCGCTGTACAGGTCCAGGTCCATGTACCATTTACCATTACCGGAGCTTGCTCAACTTTTATTGGAACACAGTGCAAAAAGGGGGCAGGACTTAGGAATGGTTGATTGCGACCAGGTTTCTTACTACTGCTGATAACATTTCATGCTGTTTCAGGTCAATCCACAGTGGAGTTTGTGTGTGCTGAGGAGACTGACCTGATTCTTATCCACTCCAATAAGCTGAACTACACCAAACGTGAGAATAACCACTTGGCAAGCCTTACCTCATTAGGTGGAGTCAAAGCCCCCTCAATCAAGTCTTCCTGGCTTCAGCAGGTGACTCAGTACCTGGTCCTACAGTTGGATGGTAAACTGATGAAGGACCACAGGTACCACCTCCACACTGATTTTACTGGAGAGCTGGCCGATGACTTGGGAGGCTTCTATAGGAGTGAATACATGGAGGATGGAGTGAAAAAGTATGTGTTTAGAGTCAGATGATATGCTTTGAAACATAACTAGGGCAAAACTTGTCCTTTTTATTAATTATTCTTAATGGCAAAACATTTTGCCAAAAATATTGGGTTATTTCTTTAACATCAAGCTCAATTTGTCTATTTCCTGTCAGGGTTGTTGCTACCACTCAGATGCAGCCCACAGATGCCAGGAAGGCTTTCCCCTGTTTTGATGAGCCAGCTATGAAAGCTATTTTCCACATCACTCTGATCCACGACCTTGGAACTGTAGCTCTGTCCAATGGCGAAGAAAAAGGTTAGTTGCACTACAGTGATAACTGGACAGCATTAATTTCACAGTTGGAAGAAATCAGTGGAGTGTATGAGAAAGATAATGATGATGAAGATAAAGTGATTATGAACATAATGTGTAAAAAAAAAATTAAGATTAAAAACCTTTCAAAACTTCTTCTATTCTATTCTGTTCTATTCTCTTACCTATGTGTAATGCAAAAATTAAAATCAAATCAACGTTTCATTTCTTTTCTACAGAATCAAGCAACGTCAACATTGAAGGACATGATGTGCAGAAGACAGTTTTTCAGCCAACTGAGAAAATGTCCACCTACCTGTTGGCGTTCATTGTCAGCGACTTTTCATTCATCAATAACACCATAGATGGAGTTTTGGTAATTGATATAATAATAAAGCAACCAAGATGTGACTGTACAATATGTTACTTCTTTACACCTTCTTCACAATTTGGGTTCATATCTAAGAACAGGAAAGGAAAAAGTTAACAGAGGTTCTGCCAAATATCACTCAACACAGTTTATAGTTGTGTATTGTAACTTTAGTTCTAGTTTTCATCATCCAATTTCCAGTTGGGTTTTCCCCTACAAAATCCCTAGGTATCCACATTCCACATTCCAAACAACACAGTTAGTCTCCATTTAAGTTTCTGAGTTCAGACTTTTTCCCTTCTCCATGCACCTTTGAAGTAGGTGAAGTTGTGTTGGAAATCCCTACTCTGCTTCTACAGTGATATTCAGGCTAACAAAAATGTGCTAATGAGACTGTGTAATGTGTTTTCTTGTATGTATTGTGTGATATGTGTTTAGATCCGTATCTTCGCCCGGACACCTGCTATTGCTGCTGGGCAAGGAGACTATGCCCTTAACAAAACTGGACCCATCCTTAAATTCTTTGAGAAGTATTACAATTCCAGCTACCCTCTGCCCAAGTCTGGTAAGTCTACCATACATGACGATCTGGATATGAATGAGTCTGGTTTGAATAGATATAGTACTCCCTATGCAGTTAGCTACTATTTCTAATCCGGGAGGTTACTTTCTGTGTTTATAACCAAATGTAAAATGGAAGTTTACTTGGAAAGCTTTAGGAGGCTTGCACTGATTACCTGAATCTCTACAGCAGAGGTGGAGAGTGCAAAGTTAGCATGACCCATATAGTCAGAATCACCGTAATTGAATGGCACAGGTTGGAAAATACCAGAATTTTACTTTACCTAACCAACAATGGACTACAACACCATTATAAGCCCTCTCCATGTACAAAAGCAATGCTTTATCTTAATATGCACCTTTTTGTATGTGTCTTTGTTAAATATATCAAATTAGCCTGAATACCTCTCTTTTTTATGCTCCACCTGTATTTACTATGTAAAGTGAACACACCTAGTTATACATTAATATAACATGTCATCCCCTGATTTTAGTGCCCTCAGTGGTTCTTGCAATCATGTTTATTGCCATTATGTACATTTTTATGGTCATTCCCAAATATATCTCCTTTTGTAAACTGAGACACCGCCTGCTCTGAAGAAACAGCTGTGTCAGTTATTTTTAACACCTTATACAACGCTCATCTTTCATTCTGTTCTTATCGCTTATGTATGCAAGATGTATTTGCTAATCACATGGATGCTTGTATCTTTTGGTTTTGAAGTTTTATGACAGGGCTTTGGAAACAGGCATGATCACATGCCATTTCAATTTTTAACAGATCAAATTTTATAACTTGATTGTTATACAGTCTTTGATGACAGCTGTAGTCCGTCTTCATACAGCCTTTGTTGGCCAGCTTGTTACAGCATCCTTGATCCCCCAAATTTCTTATTCTAGGGTTAATAACAATCCGAATCGGTCAGTAGCAAAAACAAGAACTTTTATTGAATGTAATTTGATGGTGTGCAACTGCCCTCAAGGATTTATGGTGTAGCCAGCTTCTTCAACGCTTTCCCCTTCAGTACTGAACCAAACTCAAAAATTGCTGCTTTCACATAAAAGCATAAGAAAATAAGGTCCAGGTTGAAAAATACCGGTTACCCTTTAAGTTTGGTCGGCTTACACAAATTCGTTAGGAAACTTGACAGGTAATCAACCACAAATAATCTCTTTCCTAATGCAGATCAGATAGCTCTGCCAGACTTTAACGCTGGCGCCATGGAGAACTGGGGTCTGATCACATACAGAGAGACTGCACTGCTCTATGATGAAACCTTCTCCTCCAACTCCAATAAGCAGAGGATTGCTACCATCATTGCCCATGAACTGGCTCACATGGTTAGTCAGTTGGAAGAAAATTAATGGAGAATCTTGTAAAGTAGTAACCAACACAAGTCTAATCCTCAAGTCTTTACTTGGCATTGCAGTCACACATTTACTCTGTGTTGTCTCTTCAGTGGTTTGGCAATCTGGTGACACTAAGGTGGTGGAATGACTTGTGGCTAAATGAAGGTTTTGCATCCTATGTTGAGTACCTGGGAGCACATGAGGCAGAGCCTGAGTGGAACGTGGTAAGGTTTTACCTCCCACCTTGTAGCCTCAATAATCGGAATAATGAAGGATGATGGTGATAGGGAAGTTTTGACCGTCTTATTTGTCTCATAATAGAAAGACCTCATCGTGCTCAGTGACGTCCACAGGGTGTTTGCCGTCGACGCCTTGGCCTCTTCTCACCCTCTGTCCTCGAAGGAAGAGGACATCCAGAAACCCGCACAAATCAGTGAGCTGTTTGATGCCATCTCTTACAGCAAGGTAACCTCCTTAACAGCAGCAGTTCCCCATCTCTGACCCTAAGACCAGTTCCAACATTTGAAATTTGTTTGCTTATCCTCAGGGTGCATCTGTTCTGAGGATGTTGTCGGATTTCCTAACTGAAAAAGTCTTCACAATGGGACTCAGGGTAAGGACTTTATGGGGACAATATTTACCTGAAAAACACATGTTACTGTGAACCTTAGTCCTCTTTTATTGACTCAGTAAAGAATCTTGTCCGTGCATGTCCTTGGCAAATTAATTCTCTGTTAGTAATGTGGGATCTGTGCATCTGATAAAAACCTGAAAAGGCCATTTAGAAAGGAATTCCAACCGGCACTGTGATCAGTCCATTCAGCAGGTAGATTTCCTTCAAATGTGGCATGAGAACATCATCAATCAGTAATTGGCTATTTCAGTCATTTAAGTAATTATTTTCTTGCCCCTATACATGCCCCAATTGTTTAATTTATTGGTACTTAGCAAATAACAAGACCCTCTGTTGGCTGAACTGAAAATTATTTGACTCCTGTCCTGGTTCACCACAACATTTAGCAGACACACCTCCAAAGCAAAATAACAAATTGATCTCTTTGTTTTCCCTGCAGACCTACCTGGCTGAATTTGCGTTCGGGAACGCAGGCTACACAGACCTATGGAGCCATCTGCAAATGGCATGTTCTTTTCTATAGACTCTTTAGATCTGAACATTTGGCCAATGTTTTAAACAAAAGGATCTCCAGTAATTGCCAATCTACTGTCTGCTTTCACAGGCTGTTGATGCTACTGGCACTGACATCCCTGAAACTGTTAGTAACATCATGAACACATGGGTGCTGCAGATGGGCTTTCCTGTGGTTACAGTAAATACCAGTACTGGTATAATTTCCCAGAAGCACTTTCTCTTGGATCCGGACTCTGAAGTCACCACTCCATCTATCTACAAGTGTGTAGATGGCCTTTCATACTTCCCTCCCCTTAGAACAATTAATTTGTGTATTTTGTGTTTTCTTTAATACTACTGCTGCTATTTCATGTTACAGTATTACAACTCCTTCTACTATTACAGTAAACTACTGCTTATACTATAACACTTGTATTACCACTACTTTTACAGTAATACTACTATCTTCTTCTAGCAAATTCAAGGGTTATTACAAAAAATAGGATTTTTTTCATTTTAATGACATCATCATACGGCTGATACAGCTTCCATCTTCTAGTTCATATAAGAGGCAAAAGAACAACACTATATGTAGGTATATTAATGCAGTTGTTTATCCTGCAGCTATGAATGGATAGTTCCAATCAAGTGGATGAAGACTGAAACAATCCAGCATCCTAAATGGTTAAAGAATGAATCAGGTAGGTACAGATACTAATAATAATTGATTAAATAAAATTACCTGAGACTGACAGTTTAGTTCAGTTTAAGTGGTCATACATTGTTTTTTGCAATAGCTACAAGTTTGCTGCAGGCCTTCTTGGTGGTCAAGACAAGTCAGATTTATTAACATATTCCTTGATTGCAAGTGTCAAAGGACTTGACTAATCAGCACCCAATTATAAGTGAAAATCTAGCTAAATTTAATTTGAAGGTCAAGTGTGTAACATTTAAATTAATTCAGTTCAATTCAATGTTATTTGTATAGCGCCAATTCATAACAGAAGTTATCTCAGGACACTTTTCAAATAGAGCTCTAGGAGGGTGGTCGTCTGTCTCGACCAGTTGGGGTGAGAGAGCGTGTGTGAGACAGAGGGAGAGAGAGAGAGAGAGAGAGAGAGAGAGAGAGAGAGAGAGAGAGAGAGAGACAGACAGACAGACAGACAGACAGAAAGACAGACAGAGGTGCACAGCAAGAACAGTAGCAACAACTACACTAATAGTAGTGACTGATGATGACAACAATGAAGAAGACGACGATGACAACGATGGGGGACAATGAGCAGTGATTATAGTAATAATAGTATCTGTAGTAATAATAATAATAATAATAATAATATCAGTGATTAGGAGCATCTACTGGCAGAAATATAATATTAAAATATTGATAGGTATGTTTTCATTAGTGTATAATCACCTGAATATAGGAATCATTAAGCCAGGAAGGGACAAACCAAACACTGGCTTTAAATAGGGCAGTTTCTTGCCCACCGTAGTTTCTCCTTTTGAGTGTTACACTGCTACTAAATCCTACACACTGGTTCTTTGATTTATTCCTCAGACTCCAGCATATTGATTACTATATTATACTATATAATTATTATAAATTTTGTATTTCATCACAAACACGGACAGACAGATCTCTCATATTAGGAGTTCTCTTTGTTCCTTCCTTGCTTTTAGCAGCTTTGTGAAGAGGCGATTCTTAGTTAGACATTTTTAGTTCCATTTAGGAGGACTCCTTGTGGTAAAATAAGATTATCAGAATCAGAATCAGAATCAGAAATACTTTAATAATCCCAGGGGGAAATTACTTATTGTGATAAGGCCCTAGATCCTTTTGTCATTTTCCTCCAGTCTCTCTCATTCGCCCTCTTGTATCTGAAGTTTATCAGGTGGAATTAGTGTATACTGCCTCAGGATAAGTGTGGTTGATTGTTTTTGCTCAAAGTTTAAACATTTTTAATGTCATATCATATGAGTGCTAATGGGTGGATTTGTGAAAGGGCTGTACAGACCAGAGCAGGTAGAGGAAACCATAATTAAGAGTAACAACATCACACTACCTGCCTTTGGTTCTAATATTTCACACAGGCATGAGGTCCCCACCAGAGAAGTGCAATTATTTTTATATTTTAGGCATTTGGACAAACAACAATTCTGCCATTTTTCTGGCGACAGTCTCGTCCTCACATGGTACTGCAACTGAAAGCACAGATTAACTTGAAAAGTCTGGCTGTCTGGCTCATATCTTGGCAGAAAGCTCCAACATCAGAGACTGAAGAGTTCACTGGCTAATTTTGCTGAAAATCATTGACACTGTTAAAGCTGCAGTAGGTAACTCATATAAATTACTTTTTGTCATATTTTCTAAAACTTTCACTATATCCTGAGAGTTGCACATTAGACAGATGACAAAAAATCTAATGGTATTTTCAAGAATTAGGGCTGTCACATTTTATTCAAGATACAAACAATTTTGTTGTTTATTTTTTTAGTGTACTGACATGTTCAAAGCCAGCAGAGGGTACTTCACAATCATCTTGATTATCTATCATATTGACCTGTCACACTAGCGAGCAAAGACTTTGTACAAAGCAGCACTATGTGCTCTGAGATAATTTTTTCATTTTCATTTTAATTTTTTTTTGTGTGCCATTTCAATTTGTTTGAACTTGATTGAAGAATCTGTCACATCTGAACGAAAACAACTAATCAGAGCCAAGAAAGATAGTTGATTGTCATTCCCAGGTCATCAAATTTAGATGCGTTGGGATCGTTGGGAATGAAAACTCAACAATCAACTATTTCTTGGCTCTGAATATTTGTTTTTTGCGGTGCATTCTGCAAATACCATTAGGAGCACTAGGAGGATGAGCCAGAGGAACCTGATTTCTGTGATTTAATCACAGATTATCTGTCTCCTGTTGGATATAGTGAAAGTTTCAGCAAATATGATAAAAACAATTTTTTGTAAAAGTTACATACTGCAGCTTTAATAGAATAAAATCTATCGAATGATTTACATTCTCTTCTTGTACACAACAATAATGACTAACTTCAACCCCTCCTTCCTTCTGTAGTTACAATCGATGAGATGAAAGTATCAGGGTCAGACTGGGTGCTGGCCAACATCAATGTGGTGGGTTACTACAGAGTCAACTATGACCAGGGCAATTGGGAACGACTCCTCGGTGTTCTGAGCACCAATCACGTGGTAAGACACAACTTTCTGATGCATGGTTACCTGCAAATTTTGTATTACCTCTTTATTCCTACACTTATTATGAACATGCATATTGACCTGAGTAGTTTTAATAGTAGTAAATGGGACATTGCTCTTGTTTTTCAAGGCTATTCCAGTGATCAACAGAGCTCAGTTGGTGGATGATGCCTTCAACCTGGCTAGGTAAGTTCTACTAATGCAGCATTATATACAGATGAATCTAGTAAGAATAATCATCTGGAATTACTGAGAAATAATAACTTTCTGACTTACTGACTTTCTTCTCATTACTTACTGTATTGTGTATGTGTAAAACTGAGAAAATCTTCAAGACTATTAATAAATGATGATTAAAATATAGAAACTAGGATCTCCCATTAATTTTCACAATCTTTTAACCCCAAAGAGCAAAGATCATCTCTACAGTGCTGGCCCTCAGAACCACCAAGTACCTGAACAAGGAGAGAGAATATATGCCCTGGGAGTCGGCTGTGGGCAACCTCGACTTCTTCTACCTCATGTTTGACCGCAGTGAGGTTTATGGTCCCATGCAGGTGTTCTTTCTTTCAGCCAAACATATCAGCATGAAAATCAAAGAATCGAAACATAAATAAAATCTAACTGTCATAAAATGATCATATCTTTTCTTTGTTTTTTAGGATTATCTGAGGAATCAGGTCACCCCTCTGTTTACACACTACAAGAGCCTTACAGACAACTGGAAAAATGTACCTGTTGGACACATGGACCAGTGAGTAAAGAGAAATACCTGAACATTACTGGTCTGGATAATATACTTTTTAGAGAGGCAATAACAAAACATGACAGTTGCAAACTAGAAAGTTGAACATTAAATGTTCACAACAAAATTCACTTGCAACTGGATGTTGCACTAGAGCACCAAAACAATGGGACAAAAATACAATAAAACTACCAAAACGTTTTTCCACAGTCTTTCCCCAACAATCACCAACACTGGTTTGGTCAAAATAAAAATAAAAATAGTTAAAAGGGTTGCAATGGCTACGTAAGCTAACGTTAATCCTTGGGGACAAATGCATCCGTCATAGTACCTCCACTAAAAGTGCTTGTTTTTGCCACTGACAGGCTGACATTGTTACGGAGTTACAGAGATAGACCTTTAAACAATCACCAGACTCCATAGACAAAAACAATAATTTTACTTCACATATCATTTCAACATCATAACCTTTATTAAAGTGGACAAATAATTTGTTAGTCTTTCCACTGTTCCAACAATCACCATTTCTGGTTTGGTGGAAATAAATCCTTAATGCACTGACATAGACGGTAAAAACAACAGTTTCAGTCCCTCTACTCAGCTGCACACGGAACAGATCGGCTATGTAAACCATCCAAAGACAGGCTGCGATAGCAACACAGGCAGGGAGTGTGACACCATGACTCCACTGTATCTTACATAGATGATAGTGGTTTGCTGCTATATTAATGTTATAAATATATAACCTTTAACCCTCGTATTGTCTTCCCGTTTACTATGCACCTTTTGTCCTCCCGGGTCAAACTGACCCGGTCTGTTTTGACTGCTTATAAAGCATGAGGTATAAAATGATCACCAATATTTTTGTTTGACCTTTTTAGTGAACTTGTTTCCAACACATTAAGATATATTTTGCACTTTGCACTGTAATGTATGGTATGATAGACCTCATTTACATAAAATTACAAATAATTTTTGAGTAAAAAAAGCACAAATTGTGAATTATTTTCACAATGGTTATGATCAATTCAATTTCAATTCAATTTTATTTGTATAGCGCCAATTCATAACAGAAGTTATCTCAGGACACTTTTCAAATAGAGCAGGTCTAGACCGAACTCTTTAAAACATTATTTACAGAGACCCAACAGTACCACCATGAGCAATTTAATAACTTTAACCAGAGCTGTCTCTGTGCTATGATGAACTCTAAATCCTGACTGAAAATCCTTAAATAAACTATTGTTATGTAGAAAGTCACACAACTCTTTGGCGAATACTTTCTCCAGAATTCCCCAATTGGAGAAAGGCATATCAAGGATGTCAGAGTCAGTTGAGTCTAAGGGCAACTGGACGTGGTGTAGTTCCTTGAAGATGTACCACATAAAAGGTGTGAAATTAACATGTTTACAACTGTGTAGCTTGGAAATCGTGTGTTGTCTGGAGGCTGAATGCACATCAGAGGTTGTATATTTTACAAATTTACAAATTCTGCTATCCAAAGTGATGCACATCTGAGAGTTGGAAGTTGCTTTGAATTGTGTGTGTGTGTGTGTGTGTGTGTGTGTGTGTGTGTGTGTGTGTGTGTGTGTGTGTGTGTGTTAATGCGTGCATGTTTGTGTGTGTGTGTGTCCCTGTGTGTGTCTTTGTGAGTGTGTGTGTCCCTGTGTGTGTGTGTTTGTTGTGCTGGAAAGCGCAAACTGTGACCTATTGCACCACTAAATGTGGCTGGGTCAAATTGACCCGGGAAGACCACAGGTGTTAAAAATTTTAATATAATACACATAATTCAACAAATATAGTCATAATTAATTTGACTTGCAAAGAGCATAGCAGGGAACAGTCCATGTAATTTTCAGACTTTTATATGGAAGAAAACCAAAGTTATGACATTTTAGATTTTGAAATCGGGTCAAATTGACCTGAAGACCACATGAGGGTTTAAAAACAGCGCTACATGTCTCTTTTATATTTTAACCGTCTCTAAAGTGTGGTTGTCTTTTCAACACAGACAAGCCTAGCACATAGCATATTTAAGTACAGGAAAGGAGAAACTTAACAGAGGTTCTGACCAAGGCTTGCTCAACTGTTATTGGAGCACAGAGCAAAAAGGGGTGGGCTTAGGAAGGGCTGTTGTAACAACAGCTCTCTTGCTCCTTGTAAAACACTGCAGAAACACCCTGCTGTTTGACTTTCTCTGTTCCCACCCGTACTCTTCATGTTTTCTGTCTGTCCTCCTCTTAATACTCCTTCTCCATCCTGTTTCTCCTTTCTCCAGGTATAATCAGGTGAATGCTATCAGCCTGGCTTGCAGGACAGGCCTCAGGGAATGCCAAAACCTGACCAACCAATGGTTCAATCAATGGATGGAGACTAAACTCAACCCGTGAGTGTGTACTTATTTTCTATCCAAAATATTTAAAATTCAATTCAATTAAATTCAATTTTATGTGTATAGCGCCAATTCATAACAGAAGTTATCTCAGGACACTTTTCAAATGGGGCAGGTCTAGACTGAACTCCTTATAACATTATTTACAGAGACCCAACAGTACCACCATGAGCAAGCACTTTGCAACGGGGGCAAGGAAAAACTGCCTGTTAAAAGGCAGAAACCTAGAACAGATCCTTCGGTTCTAGGTGGGTGGTCATCTGCGAGAGAGAGAGAGAGAGAGAGAGAGAGAGAGAGAGAGAGAGAGAGAGAGAGAGAGAGAGAGAGAGAGAGAGAGAGAGAGACAAACAGACAGACAGGTGCACAGCAACAACAGTAGCAACAACTTCACTAATAGTAGTGACTGATGATGATGAACATGAAGAAGACGACGACGACGACGACAACAACAACGATGGGGGACAACGAGCAGCAACAACAGCAACAACAGTAACCATAGCAATAATAATACTTATAATAATAATAACAATAATATCAGTGATATTAGCAATGGCAGTCAAGCAGGACCATGGCAGGAGGCTCCACCAGGATCCATGAGAACCTGTGAGACGAGAAAGCACAAGAACGGAAGAAGTGAAGTTGGTAACATGCATTAATGGGACATCAATGAGTGCAGAAAGAGAGAGAGAGGAAAAGAGGAGCTCAGTGCATCATGGGAAATCCCCCGATAGTCTAGGCCTATAGCAGCATGACTAAGGGATGGTTCAGGACTCACCTGATCCAGCCCTAACTATAAGCTTTATCAAAGAGGAATGTCTTAAGCCTACTCTTGAATGTGGTGAGGGTGTCTGCCTCCCGAACCACAACTGGAAGCTGGTTCCACAGGAGAGGAGCTTGGTAGCTGAAGGCTCTGGCTCCTGTTCTACTTTTAGAGAAGTAGCCCTGCATTCAGAGAACGCAGTGTACCATCTGTCCATCACCATAATCCGCTGAAACTTAACAATGTCATCATTCTATAGGATCCACCCCAACCTGCGTTCCACTGTGTACTGCAACGCCATCGCAGCAGGGGGCGCTAAAGAGTGGGAGTTTGCTTGGTCACAGTTTAAGAATGCCAGCATTGCCATTGAAGCTGACAAACTCCGCTATGCCCTGGCCTGCACGAAGCAACCCTGGCTGCTTAACAGGTCTGCTCACAGAGAGCCTTGTTAATACAATCATACAGTATATACAACGTATAATTGACAATGACTGATGTATGTGAATGTACTGTTCAGGTACCTGGAGTACACTCTGGACCCAAACATGATCCGAAAGCAGGATGCCACTTCCACCATTGTCTACATTGCCAACAATGTAATTGGTCAGTCTCTGGCGTGGGACTTTGTAAGGGCTCGATGGTCATACATTTTCACTCAGTGAGTACAGCACAATACTTTTTTGTTGCTAACATTATTGCATTACCATGAAACAGAGTTGTAGTCCATAGCTCAGTCTGTTTATCACTGAAATTTGTCCATGACGATTTTAAATGGGCTTTACAGTTCTGAGTAAAAGGTTGTTATAAATACAGATATATGGCGTGATAGGTAACACATCTCTGTGACCTATGATTTCCACATGCTGAACTGAAGCACAGTCACACAATAAAAAATCCCTTGTCACATAATCACATAACAGCAGTGGGGCAGTTTTACTGTCAAGTTTATTATCAGTGACAGCTTTATTGACCAAGCATGCTCAGTGTAATTCAAAACTCTGCCTCATGTGACTTTTGGTCTTGACCCCTCATAAACCACACAGTCCTCTTGGTGTAAAACGGGTGCGTGTTTCCCTACAGCTGAATGAATATGTAAACTTGCTCTTGTTTTTCTGATAAGAAAAAAAGATAAAAGAAAAAAATGAACATTGAACATTCAGAGTGTGCCCAATGTCCGACCCTGCAAAGGATAAGCAGTTTAGATGACAGCACTGTGTAACTATTTATGCCACTTTAATCATGCTCTGTGAAACATCCAATTCTAGAATGATATAAAGTCAGTCAGGCTACCTCTTGTATAGTAGCTATGATTGACTCTTAGCAATGATAAATAATTAATTACTTTGGTACCATATTTTTAACAATTGTGTAAGTGAGCAGCATCTTAATATAAATTGTTTTTTTGCCTACTGTCAGACATTTAAAGCTGCAGTAGATCATTCCTCTGGCTCCTCCTAGTGCTCCCAGTGGCATTTGCAAGAATCAACCAGGCCAGAATGAAAACAACGTATTTGTTACGCGTACTGTATATCTGCACACTTCAACTTAAGTCAAATCCAGTCAAACTTGTATATAATATAATATATAATAAGGATATTAAAAAAAAGATAGAAGCTGTACAGTATATATTACATTCACAAAAATGGTTGGCATAAATGTAGGCCTTTATCAGAATCGCTGTCTCTTTGATTAACAGTACATTCCACAGCTGATCCAATTCTCAATGAAAGGAAAGATTTGAACAATTACTATTAATTTGCATACAGATTGTCCTGATTGCCCGTTAATGTCTTGGCTTTGTTTTCACTCATAGGTATGGTGGCGGATCCTTCTCCTTCTCCAACCTCGTCAACGGAGTCACAGAGCGCTTTTCCACAGAGTACGAGCTTCAACAGGTTAGATAATCTAGATTTTTTTGTCTACAGTGCCCACAATCAAACACATTTGTATTTAGTATTAAAGATGTTCATGTTTTAATATTGTTTTACCTTTGACTCATTATGTATTGCAATGCTATCAGATTAGATTAGATTAGATTAGATTAGATGACAGCAGGTGTGCAAGTCCTGAGTCATTGTCTAGTCTCAAGGCAATTGTTTCAAATCCTGGGGCCAAGACTTTACAACCAATTTAAAGCTGCAGTAGGTCATTAAAAAAATAATTTGTCATATTTGCTGGGTTCTTAACTTTTGTTGGAGGCTTGAAGATAGTTGATTGTTAAGTCTCATTCCCAGGGTCTCAATTTTCTGTATTTAAGAGTCAACAACAAACTATCTTCCTTGGCTTTGATTGGTTGTTTTCATTCAGGCCCGGTGGATTCTTGCAAATGCCATTAGGAGCACTAGGAGGAGCCAGAGGAACCTGATTTTTTCACAGATTATCTGTCTCATGTACTACTGTCAAAGTCAAGTGAAAGTTTTAGCAAATATGACAAAAAGTTATTTTTATAAAAAATTATCTATGCAGCTTTAAAGTCTAAAATTAATTAAATGAGGCACTAATGAAGCTCTAATGCTGTAGTGGATTTTTTTCTTAATTTAATGCAAAGTCAAAATCTGTTTAAAATTAAGAAATCCCAAGTAATTTGCTAAACCCCTCCCACAAACAGGGACTTTCCAATCATAGTTTAACACAATGTGATTATTCGAGTGGCTGTATTTTTACCTATTTGTTATGTTTGCTGTACATACATTGTTCGGAGATCTATTGCATCTTTTTCAAAGTCAAGGGAAGGGTCTAACAAAAATAAAGTAGGCTGCCTCACCTCCCCAATCCAGACACTCATTTTATCTTTTGCTTGTTGTAACAGCTGAAGCAGTTCAAGGAAGATAACGCTGAAGTTGGTTTCGGCTCCGGGACCCTGGCTGTGGATCAGTCTATTGAGAGAACAATTGCCAACATTAAATGGATCGCAGAGAACAAGCAGAATGTTCTGGACTGGTTCAAGGCTGAAGAAAAGCCCTAATGGTGCCTTACATTAGTTCTACTTTTACTTTCTGTAATTCATTTTATTTTTTTCATAAAAATGAATTTTGCTTGGTGGAAGATTTCACACAACATCAACTGAAAGCAGATTACTCTAGCTCTGCTTGACAGAGGTAGTATGAATCTTGAAAAAAAATTTTTTACAAATATAATCCGATATTTGAAATAAACAAAGTTTGCTCGCCTAAGCTTTGTTGCATCTCAGTTTGGTTGAAATTAAGCTTAAAAAAGAGAATTACAGTGTATCTCAAATTCTTGGGATTGGGAGTACTAATTAAAAATTAAATGTTAGAAAGCGGGCTAAAGAGGACATTTTTAATTTAATCTAGTTGTTTTCCTGAAATGACAAAATTGCATCCTCTTTGGCCTTCAGTTAATATCAGCTGAGGAAAGATCCAAATTAGCTGCATTTTTGTACTGTGCTTTTCTCTGTATTTAACATGGCGAAGCTTTATGTACTTTATTCTATTTTTTAACATGTCACTTTAGGGGCTCTGTAATTTCAAGAGTAAATGTAAAATGTAAAGATATTACCCCTCAAAATACAAAATCATTTATGATCAAACTGGATTGCTGTTGAAGAATTCCTTTATTTATTATTTAAATTCTACAAAAGCTTTATTTTTTTCTGGTTATGATAGCTGTCTGCTATGAACATCACGAGTCAGCCTGAACCAGGTATTATTATGTTTCTACCTTTGTTTGGATAAAAGAAGGGAATCCCTGACAATCCCTGCCACGGTTATCATCTATGTTTGGATCAATCTAAAAAATATAGCTGTGGCCATACATATTACTTGCAAAAGCTTTACAGCTAATGCACACTAAAGGATTATGTACAATTTTGTAAACTGGATATAATGTCAATATGTGCACAGGTTATTACTGTACATCTGAAGGTAAAAAAATTATCACTTTACACACGATTCCCATCTTGTGCTGACACTTTAGACATTTGAAGGCAACAATCATACTGTATGGAATGAGAATAAACATGTTTGTTAAGAATTTACTGTTGTGCTCTATTTGAATCTGAATGTACAGTATTTCTGCTTATTCTGTACTGATTATTCTAAGACATCTAGACAACTATAGTTTGCCCAACAAACGGGAAGTGGGAGGAAGTGTGTGCGCACTTACACACACACATACACACACACGTCTCTTATTTGCTTTAATTACTAAAATTACAGCCTCACAATCAGAAATATTTTATTGATCCCCGAGGGGAAATTAGTTCGTTACAGCTGCTCAAGGTGCTCACACAAAAGAAAACATACCGCTTTGCATGCTTTTCTTGCCACCACCAAGTGTAGCTGTGCAAAATCCTAAACTTTACTCAACTTAATTAGTCCCACTCAGTCTGCACGCCAAATCAAATTCAAAATGATTAATTTCTCTGTTTTGGGGTAAGCATAGTTAGGGTCACAGTCAGTCCTCTCTGTGAGGCACGGGCAAGCCAACCCTATATATCACATAGTTACTGCTGTTTTGCCCGAAACTACATGGGATTAGCATAAAGTGGGTGTCCCCCACCATTTTCATTCAGATATCTCAAGGTCAGAGGTCAAGGGATCAATTGCCATGCTAGTTTTTCATCGCCAAAACTTTGGAGTGTTATTTAGCTGCCTTATTTAGAATTTGGTGGCATCTAGCGGTGTAACTGCAACTCACTTGCTTCACCCTCTCTTTCCAAGTGCGAGAGAGAAACTATGTGGCTGTGAAACACGCCAAAAGTCACAAATGCCCCTTTCTACAGCCAGTGTTTGGTTTGTCTATTCTGGGCATGGGGGTTCAATATGTAACCACTGTTATCTGTAGATAAAAACGGCTACTTCTAAGGTAAGAAAAAAGAAAAATCTTATTTTCATGTGATTGTGATTATACACTAATGAAAATTCAATTCAATTCAATTCAATTCAATTCAATTTTATTTGTATAGTGCCAATTCATAACAGAAGTTATCTCAGGACACTTTTCAAATAGAACAGGTCTAGACCAAACTCCTCATAACATTATTTACAGAGACCCAACAGTACCACCGAGCAAGCACTTGGCGACAAGGGCAAAGGAAAAACTGCCTGTTAAAAGGCAGAAACCTAGGACAGATCCTTCGGCTCTAGGTGGGTGGTCGTCTGTCTCGACCAGTTGGGGTGAGAGAGAGAGAGAGAGAGAGAGAGAGAGAGAGACACAGAGAGAGAGAGCGCGAGAGACAGACAGACAGACAGGTGCACAGCAACAACAGTATTGGCAATGGCAATCTAGCAGGACCATGGCAGGAGGCTCCACCAGCATCGATAAGAACCTGTGAGACGAGAAAGCACAAGAACTCTGGGGAAGAAGTGAAGTTAGTAACATGCATTAATGGGACATGAATGAGTGCAGAAAGAGAGAGGAAGGGAGGAGCTCAGTGCACCATGGGAAATCCCCCGATAGTCTAGGCCTATAGCAGCATAACTAAGGGATGGTTCAGGACTCACCTGATCCAGCCCTAACTATAAGCTTTATCAAAGAGGAATGTCTTAAGCCTACTCTTGAATGTGGAGAGGGTGTCTGCCTCCCGAACCACAACTGGAAGCTGGTTCCACAGGAGAGGAGCTTGGTAACTGAAGGCTCTGGCTCCTGTTCTACTTTTAGAGACTATAGGAACCACAAGTAGCCCAGCATTCAGAGAACGCAGTGTTCTAGTGGGGTAATAGGGTACTATGAGCTCTTTAAGATATGAAAACGAAAACATACCTATATAGTATTATATTCCAAAAGAAATGTAATACAGTGCATTTTTAAAAATGGGAAAGAAAGACAACGCAGAGTGGAAGAGGTAAGGATAATGGGGTGGTTCTTGGGGTGGCCAATCATATTTCAGGGGTGGCCACCACAGGCCCCCCTTCTGGACACGTCCCTGCCTCATAGTATTTGCTGCTAACCACTCAAACAGAAAAAGGTTTGACCTATGAACACAGCGCGACAAATGCAATAAAGTTTTAACATCACTGACTTGTGAGTTCTCCACAGACAGGCAGTGTTTTATGGCTTATGTGAACTAAACCTAAACCACTAAAACCTAATCCATCAGTCTTATCACTCACTATCAACAGCTACACCATTCTCATGGGGGGGGAAGTTAAATGTTGGCAGTCACTTCTGTTTGTCATTCTGCAAGTGAGACTGCGAACCAGACGTATAGTTTTAAGCAGGCCTTTCATTATAGCATTTGTATGATAACAGTAATCTAACAGCTGCTGGAAGGTGAAGCTGAAGGCTTTCCTCTCAGTGGTTCAGTTTGGATCTATCTGCAGGACTTCTGTCAGCTGTGTGCTGTTTGTTAGGCCATGGGGAAAGGCTGCCGGGTCAGCAAGCTGTGCATTCTGTCTGTGGTCTTAGCCCTGGTCTCAGTGGCCACCATTGTCACGTTGTGGACCATTGCCCTGACAGGTGACGTCACAGCTCCTTGGGACAGGTAAGACTTTGGTTCGACAAAAGGTTTGATGCTTCTGTGTCCTTCGAAGGATGATATTGCATATGTCCCTACAATACAAAAAACAATACAATACAACATGGATGAGAAATAAACTTGGATCAGTAAATATTGGGATATGCCTAATTCTGGTTTATTTAAATCGCTTTTGTAGACTGTAACTCTTCATGGAACAAAATCTAAAATGGCTGAACCTCAGCTGCCCTAGAAGCTGTGGTAGCTATTTGTTGAATAAAGCATAGAAAGTATGATCTTGTCTTTCTGCAAAGTTTCTTTTAAGTCATCCATGAATGAAGATTTCTAAGACGCAGTGCGATTTTATCCCTGTTGGAACATCACTCTGACATAGTTCTGGGGAATCTGTTGTGGTTTCATTTTTCTTGTCTCAATGCACCTCAATAGATGTCTATCTGACATAAACTTTTAGCTATCTGACTATAGTGAGAGACCACAAACTGTCACTGAAGGTACCCAGAATGGTGACACAGACTCACAGAAAGCAAAGAGAATTGACAGTTTCACTCCATGTGCAAGATTTATTTGCATCAACACAGGATACAAGCAAACCGAGTTGTCTTGAGAATCAACTGACCAGAACAAAGAAAATCGCTCTATTATATGCCTCTTTCCCAAGGATGTCTATTGGTGACGTCTAATGTCTGATAAGCGGTAGTCATAACAGTTAACACATCTGATGCCCTACTCTCCAGGAGACAGCCTTGGTCTTTGGAATGTGCTTAGCTCATGGCACACTGAATAACTCTGTCCTAACTAGTGTGAGACAACCAGAGTGTGAATACATGACGATGAACATACATGAACATAAAATATTATACTGTAAGCCTGTAAAGTTAAACATGAAATAGCACAACATACTATAGTTTGCTTCATGTTCACAGAACCTTATCCCTGAATGTATTTTCCCACTACATTCCCCCACAAAAACAAAAATGCATTCTCTTATGTGTTTGTTTCCACATTACAGAATGTTACCTCTTTAAATTGTTCCCCCAAAAAAGTCCTGCTGAACAATCCATATACTATGTGATAAAATCATAGTACATGACATAAAAAGTAAATTAGTTTGCATTCTCATACTCATTAGTGCAAGCGGCAATGCAGTCACCCTGTCCATCTTAGTTTCCCTGCAGATTTTTTCTTCAAAATCCCATAAGCTTTTGTGATTGGGGATGGTACACACTTCCCAACCTATGTTTCTTGATTCTTAGTGATGGACATTGTCAACATGAGTTACATTATCAGAACTAATTTTCCAATATTATCAGTTTTTGTTACCGTTATGGCGGCCTTTGTTGTTGAATCTGTCTATTTGTTCAGGTTTTACTTTGCTTTTGGGCCATTTGATGTTATGTTCTACGCAGATTTCACATGATTGTATCTGTATGTATTTTTTTTAACTGTAGCGACCATGTATGTAAATATTTGGGGCTTAGCCCAAACCTAGGGGTTGCTTACCCAGAACTCCCTGCTATATGCACTCCACATGTTTCAAGCCAGCTGAAATCATAACTTGTAATTGTTCTCCAATTGTCTTCATTATCATAACTTAAGTAGGCCAGGAATGATCTGCCTCATGTACTGCTGTTAGGAGACAGTGAACATTTCAGAAAATAGTCTAAGATGCTCATAAGAGTTGTTTTGGATTGCAATGACAAATGACCTTTTGTGTTATTTAGGATGATTGAAGTTTTATTAGCAGGTGATGGCAATTTTGTTAATGCAAATAAAGACGTACATGCTTGGACATGGAAATATATCAATATTTATCTTTACAGTAAATCATATATATTTTATTACTATAATCACACTGTGGGATTTTTCTCACATTGTGACTCATAAAACATTATGAAGCAGTTTCACAGTCAATAATGCTGCCCAATGTAAAGTACATGGATATGAATATATCCAGACTTCCTAGAATAATGACGATGGATTACATTATGTGAGCAGCTTCTCATCTTTTCTATTTCACTACTACTTAACGCATCGTATAAATCAACAAAGTAAACACATGATTTCATTCAGTTCAATGACCTTTCTGTTTATTCCCCTAAGATTTCGTCTTCCCACTGATTTGGTCCCTGACTGCTACAACATCACCCTGTGGCCTCGCCTCAGCCCTGAACCAAGTTCCGGCCTCTACATTTTTACAGGTGATTAACAAGGCTTCTTATTTACAGAATTATTGTTTATTTGTCTCTTAAAGTTGCTGCTGGTGGAGAATGGCAGAGGGTACACATTTTCATACACTGATGGCAGAGGGTACACACTCTGCCAGTACAAACTGCTCATCAGGAGCGATACAGAGCTTCCTATCCAAAATGCACAAAATTATACTAAACACAAAATCACACCTATTTTATTAAGTATCTTGCCCAAGGACATTTCTACTGGAATCGAACCTCTGCCACCCAAACCACAGCCTCCCATTATGTGTTTTTGACTGTTAGCAAGATGCAGGATCTAGAATGAATGTCTTTGTCATTTCCTATTTTTCCGCAGGCCAATCCACTCTGATATTTAAGTGCGTGAGAGAAACTGATCTGATCCTGATCCACTCCAACAAACTCAAGTACACTAAGCTGAACAACACACACATTGCCAGGCTCATCGCTTCAGGTAATGTACAAACACACACACGCGCGCGCACACGCACACACACACACACACACACACACACACATATAGAAGAAGACAGACTCAGGGTTAGCAGCTCTTCCATATTAGCTTTTCACATATTACTATACAACAATAAAGTTCTGGTCTGGTCTTTCATGTTACCCATTTTTTAAAAGATTTTTTAAAGTAAAAGTTTCATGTGTTTAAGGTGATGAATACATCTCTAGTAATGAATATGTACAAGACTCTTTTGGTAGGACTTGGCATCCTACATTATCCTACATCACTTTTTTTACCCATAATTCTATTTCTTCCGCAGGTGGTGGATCTGCTCCCACAATTAAATCCTCCTGGCTGCAGTCTGAGACCCAGTATCTGGTTATCCAGCTGAATAGTAAATTAACTCAAGGACAGAAGTATGAGCTGTACACAGAGTTCACTGGAGAACTAGCTGATGACTTGGCAGGCTTTTACAGGAGTGAATACGAGGAAGATGGAGTCCGAAGGTACGTTCTCTATTATGTCCCTCTATATCGCCATTTACATTTAGCTTGGTGAGCATATTTCAGATGCCTACATTGTGTTCATTGGCACTGTGTTCAGAATTTTCTGCTTATTCTCAGGATTGTTGCTACCTCTCAGATGCATCCAACTCATGCCAGGAAGACCTTTCCTTGCTTTGATGAGCCAGCTATGAAAGCCGTTTTCGATATAACTCTCATCCACCCCCCTGGAACTGTAGCTCTATCCAATGGCATGGAAAAAGGTCAGTGCTGTATGTATGTATCGAAACAGAGGTGTATTTGCATCCGCAGTTAAAATCAATCAGATGATTGGTCCACAGAGTTTTGAAGGTTACATTCCCAGCCAAACTCATTTCAGGCAGTCAACTACCTCTTGGCCCCGACCTCCAAGGTCCCAAAGGCTCAGGTTTACTGTGTTTCAGTGAGTTTTTTTTAACGTAATTACTTGATGGCTGGCAAATTTTGGGCTGATCTTTGCACCACTGGGTACAATATCAACTGGGTCCTGCATTATTATGGCAGCTGTGGCTCAAAGGTAGAGCGGCCATCCCCTAATCAGATGGTTGGCAGTTCGATCCCTGGCTCATCTTTCTGTATGTTGAAGTGTCCTTGAGCAAGATACTGAACTCCAAATTGCTCTTGATGCTGTGAATGTGTGTGATTTCTGATGAAAGGTTGGCACCTTGCACGGCAGCTGCTGCCATCAGTGTGTGAGTGTGGAATGTAGTGTACAGCGCTTAGAGTGGTCGAAAGACTAGAGTGCTATATAAGTACAGTCTATTTACCATTATTACCAAATCTGTCCTGTAGTGGAGCCCTGTGTTAAAAATTTCTTACAAAAAAATTTGTAAAACACAAGACAGATTGAGGAGAGAGACGAGCAAGAGTTCCAGGGTTTTGACGTAGAGCCTACATACCACTACAAATCAGCCTTCATCTGGATATCCGCTGGCTACACCGGAAGTCCCGAAACACTGGCCACTGATATCATGTGTGTGTGTGTGTGTAAGCAGGTAGGTGGGCAAGGCAAAGCAAAAAGTAAAACATCAAACAGAGGGACAAGACAAGGGACTAAACAACCAGAAACACCAGTAGCCATTCACAAAACAACCAGGAACAGCTTGGGATGAAACCAGGATGAACTGACACAAAAACAGGGGAACACAAAGACACAGGTGAAGTGAAGGATAAGTTAACACATCAAAATAATCAGGACGGGGTAGATAATCAAAATTGGAGGGAAAATAGACAAAGGCAGGAAGTGAATTCAAACAAGACACAAGAGGAGGAGAAAACTAAATAAAAAGGGAAATAACTAAAGAAAACCAAAAACCATGAGAACTTGGCTGCTCAACCCACCAACCAACAGACAAATAATCTCCCTCAGTTTAGCCCAAATGGATCCATGCCAATGAGAGGTACAGCATCTAAACTGAAGCTGATATAGTGCCCATTCTATATTAATATCTATAAAATTACTAAGTTAACTACATTAACAAAGAGCTTTGGGACAAAAGCTGTCATAGTCGGAAAAAGTTTTTAATGCAAATACTGCTATGTATAGTAACATTGCATAAAACAACAAATACAGTACTGTCTGCAATGAAATAACTTGATTAGGAAAAGAATCAAACTGAACCCATGAGGGAGCGTATGCTAGCAGACAGAGAGCTGCTGTCTGGGCAATACAGACATAAACCAACAAACCAACATAAACATTTATCAACTTTTGTTAAAAACATCAAAAGTATAAATGTATTACTTACATCCCATTGTGTAGAGTCTGTTTCACTGTGTGTCTGTATCTTTTCAGATATTGTTAACACCAGTATCGATGGAGTAGCTGTGACACAGACCAGGTTTGAACCAACCAAGAAAATGTCCACCTATTTACTGGCCATCATTGTATCTGAGTACTCAAACATCAGCGCTACACAAGGAGACACTCTGGTAACTGTCTATGGCATTCATCCCTTTAAAACTGCAGAACATTTTTTTTTGGTCATATTTGCTGAAGCTTTCACTATATCCTGACAGTAGGACATAAAACAGATAATCTTTAAAAATATCAGGTTGAGGACCTGGAAATGAGACTCAACAATCAACTATCTTTCTCGGCTCTGATTGGTTGTTTTTGTTCAGGCCCGGTGGATTCTTGTAAGTGCCATTAGGAGCACTAGGAGGAGCCAGAGGAACCTGATTTTTTTTACAGATTATCTGTCTTATGTACTACTGTCAGGATATAGTGAAAGTTTCAGTAAATATGACAAAAAGTTATTTTTGTAAAAGTTACCTACTGCAGCTTTAATCACCTAATAATTTAAGCTGTACATGAAAATGTTTTGTGTGCAAGAAAAATAATTTGTAATGTTTGTTTTTGTAAGTTTATAAAAGTCTTAAAACTTGCATACACATAAATTTGCTGTTATGTGTTCAGATCCGTATCTGGGCTCGCAGGACAGCCATTGACCAGGGACAAGGAAACTACGCCCTCAATGTGACTGGACCCGTACTGGACTTCTTCCAGATGTACTATAACATCTCCTACCCTCTGAGCAAGTCAGGTGAGCCTGCTTTTATAATCATTTGATTGAATCATGCCTAAAATATTGCAGTCTGTCTGTGCTTACATAAACAGATGGCTGTAAGAGAAAGGCCACTTTTAAATAATTTTGAATGATTAGTTTCCGTTCTGGTGAACAGTTGGCACCTTGCATGGCAGCCACTGCCATCAGTGTATGAATGTGTGTGAATGGGGTGAGTGTGCATGTAGTGTACAGTGTATTGAGTGGTCGAAAGTCTAGAAAGGTGCTATATAAGTACAGTCCATTCAACATTTAAAACCACTGTACCTTTAATGGTTATCTCATGTTGTAACTACACTCTTTAAATACAACTTCCAACCATTTAAGCCATCATAGAACTTAACTGAATTCTCACTGCAACAGTCCAATGTCCCTCTTTACCACAAAGTAAAAGAACCTTTCAGAACCAAACAAGCCAAAGTTGTAAGGCTGTAGGGTATATTGACATGACTTTAAGTTCAGTTCTGTTAATCTGCATTAAACCTGCCCTCTGCCTCACAGACCAAATTGCTCTGCCAGACTTCTTCTTTGGTGCAATGGAGAATTGGGGTCTGGTGACGTACAGAGAAACCAACCTTCTCTATGACCCCATGACCTCCTCCAACAGAAATAAAGAGACCACTGCCACCATCATTGCTCATGAGCTAGCACACATGGTGATTTTTTTGTATTATACCTATTTATATATATATATTTATATTTACTCATTGATTAGTTAACAAATTGACCGATGTCCTCTCTTGTGCAGTGGTTTGGAAACCTGGTGACTCTGCGCTGGTGGAATGAGGTCTGGCTGAATGAGGGCTTTGCTTCATATGTGTCTTACCTGGGAGCAGACCACGCTGAGCCCAGCTGGAACATGGTGAGAACACAATGTCACATGCATTTGGACTTGACACTGTCCTCTTATCAGTAAATTTGATAAACTTTGCACTCCATCTGAAATCTTAATACATTTCTGTTTGTTTGCTTGCTCCAGAAAGACTTGATAGTACTTGATGACATCCACAGGGTGTTTGCAGTCGATGCTTTGGCCTCCTCTCATCCTCTGTCATCTAAAGAAGACAGTATCATCCTGCCAGACCAGATCACTGAGCAGTTTGATGCCATCTCATACAGCAAGGTACACAGACATCAGCAACATCTTCTTTTTTAATATGTTACTGCTTAAACACGTCTACGAAAATGCAGTTTGAAAACCAGAATTTTCAGCAACTGGACATCATTGAGTTACTGGCATTGTTCAACTACTGTACATTGCACTGTATATATTTTGAGCTATACAATAGAAAAATGTCCTAAACTGATTTATCGATTGATCCCTTGCCACTGTCTGTGTGTCTGTGACTCCTCAGGGTGCAGCTGTGTTGAGGATGCTGTCTGATTTCCTCTCGGAGCGTGTCTTTGTCCAGGGACTCAGTGTATGTTTCTATTTTTGCTGGCACAATTGACCCATTCAAAGTCCTGCCCATTTTTGCTCTGTGCTCCAATAGCAGTTAAGCTAACCTCAATCAGAACCTCAGTCAACTTACCCTTCTGAAATGTATTATGTTTTTCTTTTGTTTCCAGAGTTACCTCAATCACTTTGCCTACAACAACACAGTGGGGAATGACTTATGGCACCATCTACAGATGGTAAGATGTACAACTAAATTTAATTGCCAAAAATGTTACATATATATTTTTTAGCTTTTTAAAGCTTGAATATTTGACTTGGTGTTACTAGCATACAAGAAGAATACACAGTGTTTACGCAATTTATATTTTTTTGCATCAGCACCTGTTTGGTAATGGCTTCACGTTTCCCATATACTGCAGATGTTTGTGGTAATGTGATTTATGTGAAATGAAGAAACTGCTCTTGTAAATGGAATTCAAATCGAATGCATGTCAGGGACTAAACAGCTGTTGATTGAACTTAATACAAGTTATAAAAAGCTATACAAAGAATGGCTTGTGGCACCATCTACAGTGTTAAGATGGACAACTTCTTAAACAATTTTTAATCTTATTAGAAGTTAGCATATTTTTAGCTTTTTAAAGCTTGAATATTTGACTTGGTGTTACCAGCATGCAAGAAAAAAAGAGCCTTAGTGTTTATGCAATTTTCTATATTTATTTTTATTGCAGCTGTGCCTGTTTGGTAATTTATTGGCTCCAAACCAACGTATTTGGGTCACAGTGGAAGGGGATGCACAACTAAGGCTGTGTTTATGCTGATTAGGCAGCACAGTGCAAGTTTGGTGCACATTTGACATGAAATCACAAAAAACTATCATCATTTTTTCCTTGCCAAATAAACCTATATAGAAGTAAATAAAAAAGAAAAAGAAAACAAACATAATATATATATCTATATCTATATATATCATCGTTGTCTGAGACAGACAGAACCATCCCTTAGTTATGCTGCTATAGGCCTAGACTATCGGGGGAGATGACAACAACGATGGGGGACAATGAGCAGTGATAATAGTAATAATAGTATCTGTAGTAATAATAATAGTAATAACAATAGTAACAATAAAATCAGTGGCCAAACCATGGCAGGAGGTTCCACCAGGATCCATGAGAACCTGCGAGACGAGAAAGAACAAGAAGTCCGGGGAAGAAGTTAAGTTAGTAACATACATTAATGGTACATGAATGAGTGCAGAAAGGGAGGGAGAGGAAGAGAGGAGCTCAGTGCATCATGGGAAATCCCACGATAGTCTAGGCCTAGAGCAGCATAACTAAGGGATGGTTCAGGACTCACCTGATCCAGTCCTAACTATAAGCTTTATCAAAGAGGAATGTCTTAAGCCTACTCTTGAATGTGGTGAGAGTGTCTGCCTCCCGAGCCACAACTGGAAGCTGGTTCCACAGGAGAGGAGCTTGGTAATTGAAGGCTCTGGCTCCTGTTCTACTTTTAGAGACTATAGGAACCACAAGTAGCCCAGCATTCAGAGAACGCAGTGTTCTAGAGGGGTAATATGGTAATATGAGCTCTTTAAGATATGAAGGGGCCTGACCATGAAGAGCTTTGTAGGTGAGGAGGAGGATTTTAAATTCAATTCTAAATTTTACAGGGAGCCAGTGCAGAGAAGCTAGTACAGGAGAGATGTGATCTCTTTTCCTAGTTCCTGTCAGTACTCGTGCTGCAGCATTCTGAATTTATTGGAGCGTTTTAATGGACTTATTGGGGCAACCTGATAATAAAGAGTTGCAGTAATCCAGCCTTGAAGTAACAAATGCATGGATTAGTTTTTCTGCATCCGTCTGTGACAGGATGTGTCTAATTTTTGTAATATTACGTAAATGAAAAAAGGCAGTCCTAGAGGTCTGCTTTATGTGAGAATGAAATGACATGTCCTGATCAAAGATAACTCCAAGATTCCTGACAGTGGTGCTAGAGGCCAAGGTAATACTATTTAGAGTAACTATATCTTTAGACAGTGAGTCTTGGAGGCTCATCCAGGTTTTTATGTCCTTAAGACATGTTTGTAATTTAGATAATTTGGCTCGACGACTGACAACATGGCTACAGATCCAGGAACGGACACGACTACGAGAAAGAACACGGCACATGACACAACCACAGCAGCAGCAGGACACTCACTTCATGTGTGCACCTGTGGATGGGCGAAAATAACATCATTCAGGGGGTTGAGGACCCACCAAGGAAAGAGAGGGTGCTTGAGAGAGCAGAGACAAGGGCCTCGCATTGGCCAGTACTTCTTACGAAGCAACCAGTCAAATCAGTCGATTGAAGCACAGCGACGGGACAAAAACCAAAGTAGAGCATCAGCACCCCTGTCACTGAGGAGGATAATACAAACACAGAAATGCCGGTGGAGGAACCCACCCAACCACAGAGACCTCCCAAGGTGGGAAAGATCAGCACAGACCGAGCGTGAAGTGGCCTAAAGCTGTTGAAAAGAGAGAGTGGGAAACAGTCAACAACGACCTGACAAAAATCCTGGTGCAACTAGTGGGCACAGCAGAGAAAAAGCTGGAAAGGCTGGGCGACATCATCTACCACTACGGAGAAGAACGCTTTGGAGTGAACACAAGGAGAAGTGACAAAGCAACACCAGCACCAGCCAAATCCAGGAGGCAGCAAGAGATCGAAAGGCTGGTCAGAGAGAGAAGGCAGCTGAGAAAGCAGCGGAAGAAGGTCTCTGATGCAGAGAGAGAGGGTCTCATGCTACTCCAGCGGGACATCAAGTGTTGGTTGGCAACCTTGCAAAGAGCAGAGAACATGAGGAAACTTCGCAAGAAGAAGGAACACACAAGAACACGGTTCTAAAAAAACCCCTTCAAGTTCGTCAAAGACCTCTTCGCTTAGGAAAAATACGGAACCCTAAAAATTCCAAAGCAGGAACTGGAAGAACATCTGCAAAAGGTCCAACATGACACGAAAAGGCACGAACAGATAGTTATCCCACATGACATCCCACCTATTCAACCTTCTGAATTCAACCTGGAGGCTGGCCCTCCAAAATGGAAGGAAGTAGAGAGTACAGTACGACGCGCAAGATCAGCATCAGCTCCTGGGCCAAATGGAGTACCGTATAAGCTGTACAAGAATGCACTAGATGTTCCAGGCTCATGAAAATAGTGTCACAGAAGGGAATAATACCTAAGGCGTGGCGAAGGGCTGGAGGGATGCTAATTCCCAAGAGGAAGAATGCGACAGACATAAGTCAATTCCGGCCAATCTGCCTTCTCAACGTTGAGGGGAAAATCTTTTTCAGCATGATAGCACAGAGGTTGTCCACCTACCTGGAGAAGAACAAGTACGTTGATACATCTGTACAGAAGGCTGGCATTCATGGGTTTTCTGGTTGCTTGGAGCATACCAGTATGATCTGGCACCAGATCCAAGCGGCGAAGAGAGACAAAAGAGACATAAATGTCATTTTCCTTGACCTGGCCAATGCCTTTGGATCAGTTCCCCATAACCTCCTCTGGGAATCCTTCAACTTCTTCCACGTTCCATCATCCATCACTAGTCTAGTAAAAGCCTACTTCGAAGACCTGCAGCTGTGCTTCACGACAGCCGACTTTACAACATCATGGCAGTGCGTAAAAGTAGGCATTATGGCAGGCTGTACAATCTCACCCCTGGCCTTCACAATGGCCATGAAGGTCATCATCAGGGCCTCAAGATGGGTCGCGGGGGGTGAGCAAACTAAGAACGGGATCTGCCTTCCACCTATCCGAGCATACGTGGATAACATGACCACGCTGACCACTACTGCAGCATATACGAGGCGGCTACTTGGAAAACTGCAGGAGAACATCAAGTGGGCCCGGATGAAAATCAAGCCGAACAAATCACAAAGCATCTCAATAGTCAAGGGACAGCTTAAAAATGTGTTCTGCATTGGTGACGACCCAATACCAACAGTGTCTGAGCAACCTGTCAAAAGCCTGGGCAGATGGTACAACGCAAGCCTCAGAGACAAAGACCAAGTGTAGCAAGTAAGACAGGACATTACCAACAGTCTGGAAAACATCAACAAGACCCAACTGCCAGGGAAGCTCAAGCTCTGGTGCCTGCAATTTGGACTCCTTCGGGGAATGTGGCCACTCACTATCTATGAGCTCCCAATAACAACTGTGGAGAAGATGGAGCAAACCATGACTTCATACGTGAAGAAATGGCTCAGCGTCCCACACTGTCTGACTAACATCAGCCTCTACGGCAAAGGGGTCCTTCAACTGCCTATCACGAGCCTCACCGAAGAGTACGAAAAGTGCTCTAAAGTAAGACTCCAGATGACTTTGAAGGACTCCAGAGACCAGACCATCAGCAATGCTGCTCCACCCCTGAAAACTGGACAGAAATGGACACCATCCGACGCGATGCAGCATGCTACGTCAGCCCTGAGACACAGCGACATTGTTGGGCAAGTCCAGTTGGGAAGAGGAGGCTTCAGCCTTACGCCAAGTGAGCCCACTTGGCGTAAGGCCTCAACATCAGAAAGGAGGAAAATGGTGGTGGAGGAGGTGCGCCGTCACGAGGAGGCGGAAAGAAGCGCAAAGGCTGTCTCTCTTGTCAAGCAGGGACAATGGATGATGTGGGAAGGCCTGGAGAGGAGAAAGCTCAGCTGGAGGAAGCTCTGGGAAATGGAAGCAAGCAACATCACCCTCATCATCAGAGCCATCTATGATGTGCTCCCATCTCCAAAAAACCTCCATCAGTGGTATGGTCGAGGATCCAACATGTGCCCTCTGCCCAACTCCAGCGACTCTCAAGCACATCTTGACCTGTTGTAAGACCAGCCTCACACAAGGCCGCTACACCTGGAGGCACAACCAGGTTCTCAAGAGTCTGGCAGCAGCTCTTGAGAGCAAGAGGAATACCACCAACTCCTTGCCCCTGAGAGCAACCAGTTCCATCACGGACACAACCTTCATCCGAGCGGGACAGGAAAAGCCCAACCATCCCCCTACCAAACCAGAAGCTGGACAGCTAGCCATGGCCCGGGACTGGAAGATGCTAGTCGATATTTGCCAGCAACTAATCTTTCCAACTGAGATTGCAGCCACCACCCTTAGGCCAGACTTGGTACTCTGGTCCCCTTCACTGAGGTATGTTTACATCACAGAGCTCACAGTCCCATGGGAGAGTTTAACGGAAGAGGCCTATGAGCGCAAGAAACTGCGCTACACAGAACTGGCAGCAGATGCCCAACAACGAGGATGGAAAGTGAAAGTCTATCTGGTTGAAGTGGGATGCAGAGGTTTTGTGGCTTCTTCCACCATCAGGCTGCTGAAAGACCTTGGCATCCATGGACAGGCTCTGCGACAGACAATTAAATCAGTCTCTGAAGCGGCTGAAAGAAGCAGCCAGTGGATATGGATCAAGCGGAAGGGCCCTTGCTGGGGGTCAAAGAGCATCAACAGGACCCGCTGCCTTCACAACCCTCCAGGAGGAGGGTGAACAAGGTATGTGGTCAGCTCTAGGCTTGACTCAGGGAAGAGGACGCCCCTTGCCTTGCATAGTCCCATGGTAAATGGACCTGTATTTGTATAGCGCCTTTCTAGTCTTCCGACCACTCAAAGCGCTTTTACACTACGTGCCACATTCACCCTTTCACACACATTCACTCAGTGATGGCAAAGTCCATCGAACAGAAACTAACATTCATACACATTCACACACCGATGCACGGCATCGGGAGCAATTCGGGGTTCAGTATCTTGCTCAAGGATACTTCGACATGTGGCACCAGGAGCGGGGGATCGAACCCACAACCTTCCGATCAAGGAACGACCCGCTCTGCCTCTGAGCCACAGCCGCCCTATGGGCTGTGCCATTTAAACAACCAGGCAATTCTCATTATTGGGCATGGGACACAAGGTCAGGTTTGATCACCCTGTAGCTGGCCACCTTTGATGAGAGTGTATAGTGTTGAAAGGCCGAAACACCCCCTGATTCAAAGGTACACTACTGATGATGTGTCCCGAAATTTACATTTTCCCCACGTCTGAGATACAGCTCTCACACCACTCTCAACATCAAGGCAAACCTCATGTGCATACCATCTATTGGCACAAGAGACAGTTTACCATCACGTCTGTGTTTCATGATTCTCATCGGGCTTGATATATATCCATATCTTATTCTAAATGCCTGTCACCGGTTAGGATTCATTCGGATTTCCCTTAAAATCAATAAAATGAGGTGGTAGAAACACTAACACTTTTGTCCACAGGGGCTGCCAGAATTTCCTGTTCCTTTTAGGGGCTGTAACTAAGCTGGTTTTACTTTTCCACAATGTATGATCTCACTTTGATCTCAACATTCAACCTGAGTTCAGCTAACTAATATGTTAAGCTAGGCGGAACAAGCTCAAGATTATGTATTTCTCCTGCTAATAAATGTATTTATTAGTACTAGTACTACAACGATGTCTTCAGCCTGTCCATGTTGTTCAGTGTTGCACCTGGTTTGCCCCAAAATGTGGAGATTTTGTTGACCTATCTGAGGAAAATCCATCATACCATACTAGTATGCACTGGCCTCATGTCTGACATTTTCACATAGTGTATTATTTAATAAAACTGTCCTAAACTAAATATATGGAAGTAGATATATACATTTGACAACTAAATAGATGCTTTCTGTCACCTTTGTCAACAGGCGGTGAAAGCCAATAATGTGTCACTTCCTCGCTCAGTTTGTGAAATCATGAACCACTGGGTGCTTCAGATGGGCTTCCCTGTGGTTACTGTGAATACTGCTACAGGGAAGGTATCCCAGAAGCACTTTCTACTGGATCCAGAGTCTGAAGTCGCAGTTGAATCACCTTATAAGTATGAACACAACCGCATGTAACTGCAATGTATGGGAGGATTATTAAGGATTATATTGCACTAAAAAGTATTAAAGCCGCCCTTGTGAGTTACTTCACTTGGGATGTGAGTGAAAGATAGATATTTTGCGGCAATATTTAGAAAATGTGTCTTGTCTCCCTCTTTGCCTCCATCTAACTTGCCTAAATCATGAGTTTGATGTAAAAAGTTGAATGTATTTTCTCCTCTAGCTATAAGTGGGTGATTCCTGTCAGGTGGAGGAAGTCTGGTGAGGTCCAGAGAGATATTTGGTGGCTGATGGAAAAGGAAGGTGTGTAATAATATGCTAGTTATATCTAATACTGATAAAAAATGTGTATATAATTAATTCTAACACTTGCAAAGCTAGGGATGGGAATTATTCTTGAATTAATCAATTAATATTGATAACAACGGCATTATCGATTCTGCTTCTTTAGTGAGTGCCTCATCGATTCCTGATCAGTTTTCCGCATAGAAATAGGCCTAGGCCTAGACAGGTTCCTAGCATCAACGCAACTGTTTTATTATCTTTATGTCTGAAACCAATGTAGAAACAGAGTAGAGTTAGGGTAGTTTGCGATTCTTCGTGAAATGAGGCCAAGCTTTGGGCTATTTCTTTCTTATGAGTTGGCATCATTGTTAAAAGGAATTGATAAGCTTGGAGATTCTGACTGATCGGACAATTTGGAACCCAATTCCCATCCTTAAATATATATTAAAGAAAGTAGGTCATTTTTATGAAAATACATTTTTGTCATATTTGCTGAAACTTTCACTATATCCTGACATTAGAACATGAGACAGAAAATCTGTGAAAAAATCATCTGTATTTGACGCCCTGGGAATGAAACTTAACAATCAATTATGTTTCTTGGCTCTGATCTGATCTGTTTTCGATCAGGTCAGGTGGATTCTTGTAAATACCATTAGGAGCACTAGGAGGAGCCAGAGGAACCTGATTGTTTTACAGATTATCTGTCTCATGTACTACTGTCAGGATACAGTGAAAGGTTTTTAGCAAATGACAAAAGGTTATTTTTATTTACAATTTTTATACAAATTACCCACTGCAGCTTTAAGCAACTTGCAAAATACAGTCATTTAAGAAGTGTTTTTCTTGCGAATATGATTGTGTTTGCTACGCTTTACATCAAATTTGGTTAACCATTAATCCATTTTTTAAATAAAAGCTCCTTACGTTTTTTTTCTTTTTTTCCCCTGTCAGTTATAAACTTGGAGATGAAGAGCGGTGATTTGTGGGTTCTGGCCAACATCAATGTAACTGGATATTACCGGGTAAACTATGACCTTGGAAACTGGGATAGCCTCCTTGCTCAACTTCACTCAGGGCACCAGGTACACAATCTCAGGCTGGCTCTCGCATGTTTCAGACTTTACTGTCTAGTGGATGCAGGACCTTAGGTTTCTTCAGTTAAACTGTGTGGTTCCATAGGTTTACTTTTCTGTTCTTTTGCTGTCTCTGTTTTCTTTCTCTTCCATTACTTCTGTCGGTATTTGCAGATTGTATAATAATTACTTATGTTTCATATTCTGCTTGACACACTGTGCAGGTTATACCAGTGATAAACAGAGCCCAGCTTGTGGATGATGCTTTCAATTTGGCCAGGTATGTCAGTTTTTTAGCCTATTTCCATGCTTGTTCTCATTAGTATCTGTGAGTTAGAACCCAAAGTAAAGCCAAGAAAAATACTTCTTGCTACATGTTACCAAAGTGAATAACAAGGAGATAGATAGATAGATAGATAGATAGATAGATAGATAGATAGATAGATAGATAGATAGATAGATAGATAGATAGATAGATACTTTATTCATCCCCAAGGGGAAATTCACAGTTTCCAGCAGTATCCACAAACTGATAATAATAATAATAATAATAATAATAATAATAATAATAATAATAATAATACAATAATAACAACAAGAGGAGGTCAATTTAGAAGAACTAATAGAATATTACTATGGGGCTAGTGTCCTAAGGTGCATGGTCAAATCCAGTGCTTGAAAGGCCTAAGGTGCATAAGTAGTGTCAGTCAGTCAGTGGTCACATAATGCAGAGTGCACTGCGTCAGGTGGTATAGTTAACTAAAGGGCAGACATATTGGAGTTTAGAGTTTTCCTCCCCTGGGTGGAGTTGAAGAGCCTGATGGCGTGGGGGAGGAACAATCTCCTCAGTCTTTCAGTGGAACAGGACAGTGACAGCAGCCTGTCGCTGAAGCTGCTCCTCTGCCTGTAGATGGTGCTGTGCAGTGGATGCAGTGGATTGTCCATGATTGACAGGAGCCTGTTCAGCGCCCTTTGCTCTGCCACAGATGTCAGAAAAGGCCTAACAGAAAGTATACCTGCCCTACAAAGGAAATCTTATCAAATATTGCTAGTAAGTAGCAAATAACAAATACAAAATTTGCTATTTAGAGTGTAACTAAGGTGCCTTCTTTTCACTGCCCTCACACTTTTCCCTTAAAAATGTAATGGCATCCCAACATTATGAGATCACTGATTCACATAAAATTACCATTCCACAGGGCGTCATGCATGAAATTAAAGAAGGTTGTGTTTCCACTGCATTGTTCAATTCAGCTCGATTCAAATTCACTCGTTGTGGATGGTACATGGCACTGGTGTAATAAAAAAGGTTTCGCAAAAAGCGCTGAAGAATTGGTAAATGGACCTGTACTTGTATAGTGCCTTTCTAGTCTTCCGACCACTCAAAGCGCTTTTACACTACGTGCCACATTCACCCTTTCACACACATTCAATCAGTGACGACAAAGGCCATTGAACAGAAACTAGCGCATTCATACACATTCACACACCTATGCACAGCAATTTGGGGTTCAGTATCTTGCTCAAGGATACTTTGACATGTGGTGGGAGGAGCCTGTGATCGAACCAACAACCTTCCGGTAAGTGGACGACTCTGCCTCTGAGCCACAGCCGCCCTCTTGGATGCCTCTATAGGATTTAAAACAAGATAAAGTGGCCTCAGGTTCACCCAAACTACAAAAGCAAAACAATAAAAAAAATATTCACCGCCATTGTATCACCATTGTATTATTATACATTGTGGAGGCAGAAGTCACAGAGACAGATATCCCAACTTCAGATTAAATAATGTAAACTGTGTATCTCTTCTCTCTACAGGGCTCAGCTAGTCCCCACTACTCTTGCTCTGAGGACAACTTCTTATCTGTCTGCAGAGACAGAATACATGCCCTGGCAGTCTGCTCTGGATAATCTGAATTATTACTACCTCATGCTGGACTGTACTGAAGTTTATCAGCCTATGCAGGTACACTGTATTATCTGTGTGTCAGTGACAAAGATTTTGCCAAGTCTTACTATTGCAAGATTTTAAAGCAAAGCACTGCTTGTGTACTTAAAATACCTTCCTTACAGTATGTTCATTTACATAACCATGGTTAGTCTTTATGCCCCCTGGTGGCCAATAGGAGGAAAAACAGTGCCTACAGATAAGCAAGTGTCTTTTACTCACATCTCTCTAATAATTCTAGGACTACATAAAGAAGCTGGTAACGCCCCTCTTCCTGCACTTCAAGAGCATGACATCAAATTGGACCAATGTTCCTTACGGACACACTGATCAGTGAGTGTACTCAATTACACAGTCTAATACACAACAATTAAAAGCCTAACAGAAAAAAAGATGAACACAGTTATATACTGAGAGGGTTAGCAAAATCATTATATTTCTGAAAATGCACACACTGGTTTCACAGACTCCCATTCAAAGCGAAAGCTGGGGGAGGTGTGCCGACTTCCTCTGATTAGAGGTTGTTAACACTTTTTTTCAATATTAATGTCATGACGTAAATTAGCCCCAAACTGTCAACTCTGTCAGCATTGGACATTCAAAGTCCAGGCTGTTCAACCCACAAAATGTTGATTTTATAAATTTGATAAGAATGTAAGTTATTTTCTTGGCCTTTTATTGCCAGAGACAGTCATATAATTTACTTTACAGCCCACATTAAAGTCTGGAGTACCCCATTAATGATTATGAACAGGTAAAAAGAACTGGTGTCACCTGCATAACAGTGATATTTTAACATTGAGCTGACTAATAATGTACATACGACTAAAGAAAACAGAATAGGGCCCAGAAAGCTTCCTTGAGGAACACCATAATCAATCTAAAACGCTTGTGATACAATATCCCCTAAACTCACAAAAGACATTCTTCCTGATAAGTGTGAATAAAACCAGTAAAGCACCATACCAGAGACTCACCCAAGTCTTTTGATTGAAATGCCATTTAATCAATCATACCTGGGCATGGTACCTCACCTGGTAGAGCATGTGTCCTACGTAGGCTGAGTCCTTACTGTAGTGGTCTGGGTTAAATTCTGGCCTGCAGCCCTTTGCTGTATGTCATCATCCCAGAAATAGCTGATGTCCATAAATAGTTTTATTTAAAGTTTTATTAGAGATTCTTTATAGGCATTTTTGTCCTAAACGAGAGAGACGGATGACACGCAATAGGTTCAATTGAACAGTTAGCCTTTCTTCATCATCCTAATAAGACAGTACTGGACATAGTTAGCAAACAAACACAAGTTTTGACTTTTTTATTTTTTTTTCACAGGTATAACCAGGTGAATGCCATCCGAATGGCCTGCAGCACTGGAGTAACAGAATGCCAGAACCTGACCAACACATGGTTTGAGCAATGGATGGACAGCCCTCAACGGAATTTGTTGGTCTATTTTAATTTTTCAGTTGATCATGATCCACCCACCACACTTTTTTAAAAGTTAACCAATGATTTATCTCAAACTCTCAGGATCCATCCCAACCTGCGTTCAGCAGTATACTGCAGTGCCATGGCGGCAGGAGATAAGGCAGAATGGGATTTTGGATGGGAACAGTTCAAGAATGCTGCTGTAGCCAGTGAAGCCAGCAAACTCATGTCTGCACTGGCCTGTACCACCAAAACACAACTGCTGGAAAGGTGTGTATCCCTCCACCCTTTAAAGAGAGGAGGAGGGTAATGTAGTGATGTCATAAACTAGTAATGTTGAAAATGTAATGTCGTCAGACACAAAAGTATGATACAAGCCTGGAAAGAGTGAAAGTCTGTTCTGTTCTTGCAGGTATCTGTCTTACACCCTAAACTCAACTTTAATCCGTAAGCAGGACGCCACCTCTGTCATCACAGCTGTTGCCAGCAACAGAGTGGGACAGACCCTGGCATGGGACTTTGTCAGGAAAGAGTGGGAATACATGTTTACACAGTGAGTATTAAACTAATAAAGATAAATACACCTATTATCAATTATGTGTATATGTGAGAAAATTCTTTGCCTACAAATGGCTGTGATATTAGCCATTAACCGTTTAGTGTTTTTGATTTGATACATTTGATCACTTTCATTGTGAAAATTTTTTTCAATGAAAAATGGATAATCCACTACACAGAGGATGAGGATTGATGGATGCCTTTAACACAGGAGACCTCTGTTTGTTTACTGTTTGTCAACATTGGTTTCTTTCATCACTCACTTTATCCACTGTTATTATTGTAACCATGACGACATAGGTCTATTAACCCTGATTAATTGGCTCAAGTGATGTCACCTGAGTTTGAAAATGAAAAAAAAATTGGGGTGAACTCACAAGACATCTGTAGCCCACCCTTCCTTACTGATTGAGGCTAGAGACTACGTTAGCTGATACTAGCATAACACTTGCATACCTCTGACTGAGCTGTTGGTGTTTGAGCATTGTGGGTAAGGCAGCAAGTTTTGACAAGGGCTGTGTTAGAAATCACATAAATTAGGCAATTTACCTTTGTTTGTTGTTTCTTTGTTAGCGTTATCCAGTGAAGCATCTGTTTTGCTGTCAGACTCTGATGATGACTCAGGAAGTTACTTTCTCCTCTTTTAGGTAGACTAAAATTTATTTCAGTATTGTTATTTACAACAGTTTTAACCAATCCGACAGCATCCAATAAAGTTGCAGGAGCGAACCATGAAGAATTCACATCAGGTTACTGAGCGGCAGTTGGAAAGAAATTATACCAAAGATAATTTAATTTCATTCTGTTGTTAAAATGACATTACATTTAGTGAAGAGCGCATTATGACTTGTTTAGGAGTTGAAATTTAAAGTCAGGACTTCGGATTTGCATAACAGTGACTACCACCTCTGCACATTGGACCTTTAAATTGCAAAAAGTGACTGGAGGATGTGATGTGACCAATACTTTTAAATGCACTAAACTTCTGTAAATACATTTCCCACAACTGTGTAAAACTGGACTATAACTTTTCTTGAAACTCCAGATTGAACGGCCTCACAAAGTGTTATTTCTGATGAGCCACTGGTTTATTAACAGAAGTTTAGAAAATTATACTGCCAAGAATTTTAAATTCTTTCAATTTTAAATATTATTTAAAAAAAAAAGTATGATCATCTCTTTAGTTTTCCCAATGTTCAGCTGAAGGCTATTATCACTTCACCATGAATGTGAAGGTGGCGCTAAACCACAATCGGTTCTTGTTTGAGCAGAGTTGGTGTGTTTTTTTCAGATATGGTGTGGGCTCTTTCTCCTTTGCCTCTATGATCAGTGGAGTCACAGCAAGGTTCTCTACGCTTGATGATCTACAACAGGTATGTGCTCATTAAGTGATCCCTGGTTAAATGATAAAGGTCACACTGTTTGCTGAACTGTTGTTTCATGTTTCCCCTGCCAGCTGGAGCAGTTTGTGGAGGAGCATAAAGCAGCAGGGTTCGGCTCTGCCACGCTTGCTGTGAAGCAGGCCTTGGAGAAAACCAAAGCTAACATCAAGTGGCTGGAACGGAACAAGAATGAGGTGTTGGACTGGTTCAACAGTCAGACTTGACATCATAGTCGCTAAGAGTGAGAGAGAGACCTGAAAGCTATAATGTTATATTTTTCTCCTCTACATAAAGGACCAGTAAAGGACCCAGTTATAAGGTGTTAGTACCACAGTAATGCTCATTCTCTTTTAATGACACAGTGAATATGGTGTATTCTTATGTAACAAAACACAAAACAAGTTTTAATAGTGTCCAAATAACTCAGATTTAAAGGTCCAGTGTTTAGGATTTTGCAGATTGCAACCCCTTTGTTTCACCCCCTCTTCCAAGCACGAAGGAAAACTACGGTGGCCACGAAACGTGCGAAAAATGCAAATGACCCTATCTGGTGCCAGTGTTTCGGTCGTCCCTCCTGGGTTACTGTAGAAATGTGGAGGTTCAACATGGTGGTCCCCATATAAAAGGAGATAAAAACGACCATTAAGTCTTTATAAATAATGTTATAAGGAGTTCGGTCTAGACCTGCTCTATTTGAAAAGTGTCCTGAGATAACTTCTGTTATAAATTTGCTCTATACAAATAAAATTTAATTGAAAATTTAAGTAACTCAGAATATGTTTCCCATTCTGGGGGGCGCTATATAGAACACGTGGTAGAGCGGTGTCCCATGTATCAAGGCTGGGTCCTTGCTGCAGCGGCCGTGGGTTTGAATCCAACCTGTGGCCTTTTGCATGTCATCACCTCTCTCTCTCTCTCTCTCTCTCTCTCTCTCTCTCTCTCTCTCTCTCTCTCCTCCCTTTCCTGTCAATCTTCAGCTGTCCTACCTAATTAAGGCAAAAAGCCCACCAAAAATATATTAAAAACAAAAAAGGAATATGTTCCCCCATTCTATATTGACGCCTTGCTCATATGTGCTTTGCTCAGTATGGATCAGAGTCACAAGACTTTAAACTATTAAAGGTCCAGTGTGTAACGTTTAGGAGGATCTATTGGCAAAAATGTAATATAATATTCATGGGTCCTCCGTAGATTTCTCTTCTACGGATTCATGCTGAACCACCATGTTTCTACAGACAAACAAAATACTGGTATTAATTGGGGCATTTTTAACCCTGTTTCCAGTTTCACAGCACTGCACTGCTAGATGGCACTAAATTCTACACATTGGACCTTGTTTGTAATGAGCAAGAGTTCACTTTAGAATGGGGAACACATTATTTAGACTTCATTCAAAGTGATTCGGACACTGTGCACACTTATAGTTTGTGTTTTGTCACATAAGACTAAAGAATAAGTATTCTTGTGGTACAACGACCTTATAAGGCACATACTTAATACAGAACACTACTACAGAAAAACATATTAAAAACGTAAATCATGTGCAGCCTCCTTACTTATTGTCAATAAGCAGATATAAGTTATAAAATTATAAATTATTGAGGCTGAGGTGCTTTATAATGACTAATAAAGAGCCAATATACTACTAATATGCATGTCAATAAGTACCTTGTGAAAGCTGCGGTAGGTACATTTTATAAAAATAAATATTTGCCAAAACTTTCACTATATGCTAAAAGTAGTAAATGAGACTGTTCATCTTTCAAAAAATTCCGCAAGAATGAGAAAAAGGAGCCAGAGGGACCTGATTTTCTCAAAGATGATCCGTCTCATGTATTACTGTCAGAACACAGTGAAAATGTTAGCAGTAATGACAAAAAGTCATTTTTTAAATAAATGCAGTTACCCACTTCAGCTTTAATGGTGAATATGTGTACCTTAATATAAAGTGTTTCCATAATTGGATATATAGACTTTTTTTGATTTTTATGTGCTAGGATGTCAGATGTATGTGATCAGGGAAAATGTGTGCATTGATGAACTCATTTTATTAGTCTGTTTAGTAACAGCCACAAATACACACACAGAAATTAAATCAAACAATAAAGCATTTTGCACTGAAGGTATTTCCCTTCTCCACCCATGAAAAAAAAAACTGTGATTCAAAATACAAAATATTCAGACAAAGAACACGTTATGGCTTTTTATCTCTGCTTTACAGCAATGTCAGACACATGTTGAAATGAATAAAACATGAATTAATATAAGTTATGTATTCATAAGCCATTTCACTGTTATTATTGGAACCATGGTAATACTGTACATCAAACAACACAACAAAAAGATACATTGATATTTGAAACTGACCCTTTCATAGATGTTATTACTCCTCCTAATGGCATTTAGAGGAATCCACTGGGCCTGAATGAAAACAACCAATCAGAATCAAGAAAGATAGTTGATAGTTGACAGTTGAGTCTCATTCCCAGGTATTCACATACAGAAATTTTGGGACTTCGGAAATGAGACTCAATCAACTACCTTCAAGCCTACAACGCAAAGTTTAGATCTTTCTTGGCTCTGATTGGTTGTTTTCGTTCAGGCCTGGTGGACTATCATTTGGAGCACTAGGAGGAGGAACTTGATTTTTTCACGGATTATCTGTCTTGTGTACTACTGTCAGGATATAGTGAAAGTTTCAGCAAATATGACAAAATAAAAAATTAATATCTTAATATTTTCAGTTTCGACATCATAGCCAAAGTTTGATCAAAGCAGAGACTCAACAGCAGAGGAAGGTGGAAGATATGTTCACTAACAGAATATCCTCAATTCAAACAAAAAGTACTTTGGGAAGATGTTGAACAGAGACGAGCAGTAGTCTCCCACCGCTGACACAATATCACATCTGTAAATCCAACCAGTCATCATTTATATTACATACTATCTGAGTGCTGCTGGTTATTTCTTTTGTGATAAAAAACACAATCCAGACCATCTGAAACACACATTACGTCAACGACACACTGAAAAAGCATTACACAAACATGCAGTCATTTACACAACCACTCTCAGCACAAAACCATCTGTAATAAATACATATTCAACATCAAACTGTGCAAGAAAAATAAAATAAATCGATTATCCGCACACCAGTACTGTACTGTAGCTGGTTTACTGTGTGATTTAGATTTTGAGAGTGTTGATAAATTAAGAGAAAGAGCAGTCTAATAGGTATTCAGAGTATGGAATGAGACTCAACAGTCAACTATCTTCTTTGGCTCTGATTGGTTGTTTGCATTCAGGCCCGGTGGATTCTTGCAAATGCCATTAGGAGAACTAGGAGGAGCCAGAGGAACCAGATTTTTTTAACAGATTATCTGTCTCATGAACTATTGTCGGGATATAGTGAAAGTTTCAGCAAATGTGACAAAAAGTTATTTTTATAAAAATGTCCTACTGCAGCTTTAATGTGAGGAAGGCAGTGTGTGTACATGTAAATGCAAACAGCAAGGCCAAACCAACTGTAATGTTCAGTTTATTCCACAAGATGGTGCAATAATGCCAGTACTCATTTTAGGCCCAGAATGAGTATGAGTGGGAAAATGAGAAGGATGGTGAAATTAAAAGGTGCTTGAATAAAAAGTGTGGAAGAAAGCAACATTAACACACTTAACAGACCAAATGTCACCTAGCTTTCGTCTGTTTCAGAAAATATACTTGTCTAAGGTCAGACAGAAACAGAAAAGTAAATGTACACAGTTCTACTCAGATATGTTGTCAGTGTAGCTCGAGCCAAATAAGGATGTACTACACTGTACTGATGGCAGGAAGATATTAACATCAGACTGAAGTCCAGAGGAGAGGTGATAGTACTCATGCAGAACACACAGCACAAGAGATAAACTGTTGGACTTCTAATAAGTAGTTGTTTGACTTCAAGTAATAAAACCACTGCGGTATTCATCGATATTAAGCTTCTCTATTAGTCTGACACAATGACATGTTAATGACTGGGGTTGCCAGTTGCAAGAAGCAATTCAAATACACTAAGATAATTTTTAACTAAGAAATTACTATATATCTTTTTACGCGTGTACTTCAAGATTTTAATTACCAAAAAGTAGAAAAAGAAATCTAAATGCTGTCTATTTTGTTAGTGTTCTGAAGTAGATGTGAGTTTATTACGGTACTGTAATTTGATTGGTGCAATATCTGTGTTGGTGGGCACTAAAAATACTTCATAATATCATGTAAGTAGCTTAGTTAGCTGTTGCTTAGTCCCATCTGTGATCTGAGCACCCAAAGTTGTTCTGCGATGTGATCCAAAATATAGGTATTGTACTGCTGAGGTTAGTTTTAACTGTCTGGCCTTTTGTCATCACCACAGCTGGATCCATTAAAGCTGCAGTAGGCAATTTTTATAAAAATAACTTTTGGTCATATTTGCTGATACTTTCATTTTATCCAGACAGTAGTATTTGATCAGGACATGTCATTTAATTCCCACATAAAGCAGACCTCCAGGACTGCCTTCTTTCATCTACGTTTGACATTAAGTGTCAAAAATTAGACACTTAATGTCACAGACGGATGCAGAAAAACTAATCCATGCATTTGTTACTTCTAGGCTGGATTACTGCAACTCCTTATTATCAGGTTGCCCTAATAAGTCCATTAAGACGTTCCAATTAATTCAGAATGCTGCAGCACGAGTACTCACAGGAACTAGGAAAAGAGATCATATCTCTCCTGTACTAGCTTCTCTGCACTGGCTCGCTGTAAAATTTAGAATAAAATTTAAAAACCTTCATATTTTAAAGAGCTCACAGTATCCTATTACCTCACTAGAAACCTGCATTCTCTGAATGCAGAGCTACTTGTGGTTCTTATAGTCTCTAAAAGTAGAATAGGAGCCAGAGCCTTCAGCTACCAAGACCTGCTCTATTTGAAAAGTGTCCTGAGATAACTTCTGTTATGAATTGGCGCTATACAAATAAAATTGAATTGAATTAGTACATTAGACAGATAATCTGTGAAAAAATCAGGTTCCTCTGGCTCCTTCTAGTGCTCCTAATGGTATTTGCAAGAATCCACCAGGCCTGAACGAAAACAACCAATCAGAGCCAAGAAAGATAGTTGATTGTTGAGTGTCATTCTCAGGTTATCAAATATAGATGCTTTAGGACCCAAAGTGTCAGTATTTGACAAACTTGGAATCAACAACCAAATTGAGCAAAGCCTGCAAGCTAGTTCAGGCAGTTAACTCAAGCTGCACTGCTATACACACATGACATGCCTCACTCCATGATCACAAACCAAGCACACCCTTCCAATCTGGCGGTCCATTCCCAACTTTCCTTCTGCTCTGTCGCTGCCCTGCATCAGTATTGCTGCCTGCTGCTCTATAAGCCCCACCACCACCCCAGCATCCACCTGTAGGCTCCAGCTAGGGGGTTTAAGGTATTTGCTCATCACTCCCCAATATCTCTATGGAAACATATCTGCAGGGAGTGATAAGCAAATACCTTAAACCCCCTAGCCGGAGCCACCAGGTGGTGGATGTGGTCGGAGCCTAGACGCCAAAATTTAACTATGCTAAACTGCTGTAATAAACATTTCAAACGTGAGTTGTCAGACTGAACTATCTTTCTTGGTTCTAAATGGTTGTTTTCATTTAGGTGCGGTGGATTCTTGCAAATACCATTAGGAGCACTAGGAGGAACCTGATTTTTCATAGATTATCTGTCTCATGTTCTACTGTCAGGATATAATGAAGGTTTCAGCAAATATGACAAATAATATTTTTTATAAAAAAACTGCAGCTTTGAAGAACAACAGCTAACGCTAGTTACAGTAGACCCCTACTTTTCTGCCAGTGACTTAGTAGGTGTTGCATGACCTGAGCAGAAAGCAATGTCTCATGGGCATCAGTGCTAACTTTAGCAACTTAGGCTAAGTAACTTTCACTTTTCTGAGCGGAATATACAGTAACAGCGCAATGGGTCAAATTTTTGTTTTTTCCAAATAATTAAAAAATACACCCTTTGATAAAAATATTGCATGATAATTCTAAGTTGATTTTGTAGTCAGACAACAGATACAGATAGGCACAGTACCCTGATATGTAAGTAAGATCAAGCCAGAACTAGAACACGTCTGTGACAGCACAAGACAAGGAGAAAGTTGTTGAAAACTGACACACAAAGCAGAGGGAAACCTTATCAATCCTCTTTCACATGTCAAACACACAGGCCGTTATTTGCTATAATTTATGAAAAGCCTAAAAAAGTTCCAGTCACAGAAAACTTTTGGCTAACTTCTGACATTACTCCCCATCATGCATTAAAGTATTGGCAGAAAGACAAGAAGCAGAGGACATGATCATGTGGTTAGTAAATCCAGTGTGTCTTAATAGATTGATTGCATCATTAAAGGATCACACTATCTCAAACAGAAATTCTCAGTATCAGTGCCAATTTTGAATACCCGTCTACCTTCTGTCATTAGTGGAACCCCCCCGCCAACCTCTGAAACCTGCACAACATGAAAATGGTTCACATGAAAAACCATGAGAGCTTGGCATTTTACATTTAAGTTATTTCTATTCTTGCTTCCTTTCAAATGAATAGTGAAGTCAAAATCAATTAAAATAATAGCTTCCAACATTAAGCAAATAAGTTATGGCCTCTTCCATCACACACCCAGGATCTCAAACAAAATCACTGGAGGATTTTCTCTCGTGTGTCAGGTAGTTTCAGGGCCACCAGGCCACCACACACTAGCGCAGCGAAGGACAGCAGGATGGGGACGGCTTTGCTGACGCCTACGAAGCTGGCGAAGATGGAGCTTCCAAGCACTGCGGCCAGTTTACACAGAGCATTCAGCACGCCAAATGCTGTGGCCCTGAGGGACAGAGACAAAGACAAGACAGGGCTTTAGAAGAAGCCTTCCAAAGTCCCACCCCTTTTGGAACGTCGGTCAACTTCCTCCTTTTCTGCACTTAGATATACTATGTGCTAGACTAATCTATGTTGAGAAGACAACCACATTTTGAGGATGTTTTAAAGATAAAAATAACATATAGTCACATCTTAGCATCTGTTTTGCTAACATTGGTTAACTGGTTAAAAACTAATTTAGATTAGCTAACTAAACAGCTAACTAACCAGCTAATGATTGATGTGAGGTATGAGGTATTTAGCCAGTACTTTGCTAAAATTAGCTAACATATATATATATATAGCCCAATTAGAAACCTGGAACCCCGACGAATACCGAAGCTGACTTGTAAAGTACCTTCAGAAGATCTGCTAGTGGATGTGAATGCTGCAATGAAAACAATTCCTACGGGAACCATCACTGAGTCCAATAAGCTGCTACACAGTACAGCAACAGTAATCCTAGAAATGCTTGGATATAAGATGGGCTCAAACCATAACAGGCAGCATCCACCATGGAGAATACGATTAGAGGCCAGGATAAGGGCAACACGGAGAGAAGTTAGCCAGCTAGCAGAGCTACAGAAAGGCAACATGGTGAATAAAGGGGCACCCAGGAAATACACCAAGCTCATCATACCTGAAGCACTCGAACCTGCCAAACAGAGACTAACAGCACTGGCCACCCGGTTGAAGAGATACACCAAGGAGGCAGAGGCCAGGGGAATAAACAAGCTGTTCTCCACTGAACCAGCCAAGGTGTACTCTCAGTGGCAGGGAGGAAATAACAACAGGTCAGACCCACCAAGAGCTGAGGTGGAAGAATACTGGAAGGCCATATGGGAAAAAGAGGCATCACACAACCGAGATGCCCAATGGCTAGTGGACCTAAGAGCAGACCACAGCAACCTCCCAGTAACCATCTCAATGGCAGACATCCAAGAAAGAGTGTCAAAGATGAAGAGCTGGACAGCACCAGGCCCCGATATGATCCATGCCTACTGGCTGAAGAAGCTAACAGCACTCCATGAACGCCTAGCGGCACAGATAAACCAGCTGCTAAGGGATGGGTCCCATCCAGAGTGGCTAACCCAGGGCAGGACAGACCTAATCTTGAAGGACCCTCAGAAGGGACCCATCCCATCCAACTACCGGCCAATAACCTGTCTCTCCACAACATGGAAGGCCCTGTCAGGTATCATCGTGGCTAAGATGAGCAAGCACGTCGCTCAATACATGAGCGGGGCTCAGAAGGGAATTGGTAGCAACACCAGAGGAGCCAAGCACCAGCTACTGCTCGATAGAGCAGTCGCCCGAGACTGTAAGAGCAGGAAGACCAACCTGTGCACCGCCTGGATCGACTACAAGAAAGCTTGCGACTCAATGCCCCACACGTGGATACTGGAATGTCTTGAACTGTATAAGATCAACAGGAACCTAAGGGCCTTCATCCAGAACTCGATGGGAAGGTGGAAGACAACCCTAGAAGCCGACTCAAAGGCAATTGCCCAAGTCAACATCAAATGCGGCATATACCAAGGAGATGCGCTATCACCACTGCTGTTCTGCATAGGCCTGAACCCTCTCAGTCAGATCATTACAAAGAGTGGTTACAGGTACAATTCCAAAGTGGAGCAACAATTAGCCACCTGCTCTACATGGACGACATCAAGCTGTACGCAAGGAATGAGCGAGAAATCGACTCACTGATCCACACCACCAGGATCTACAGCAACAACATAGGGATGTCATTTGGATTGGATAAGTGTGGCCGGATGGTCTCAAAGAGAGGCAAGATGATCAGAACTGAAGGTTCACATAGGTGATATCCAAGACAGCTACAAGTACCTTGGTATCCCACAGGCTAATGGAAACCATGAGGAAGCCGCAAGGAAGTCAACCACAACCAAATACCTCCAGAGAGTAAGGCGGGTCCTGAAAAGTCAGCTGAATGGCAGGAACAAGATCCAAGCCATCAACATGTACACACTACCAGTCATCAGATACCCTGCTGGGATCATAAGCTGGCCAAAGGAGGAGATAGAAGCCACAGATATCTAGACAAGAAAGCTCCTCACCATGCACGGAGGGTTTCACCCCAAATCAAGCACCCTGAGACTGTATGCTAAGTGGAAAGAGGGAGGCCGAGGACTAGGGAGCATCAAGGCCACTATCCCGGATGAAACATCAAAAATCCAAGAGTACATCAGAAAAATGGCCACAAAGGATGAACTGCTAAGTGAATGTCTCAGGCAACAGAAACCTGATAAGAGTGCAGAGGAAGAGGAGCAGACAACCTGGAGGGACAAGCCCCTACATGGCACGTACCACCGCAAAATTGAAGAAGTGGCTGATAATCAGAATCAGAATTAGAAATACTTCAATAATCCCAGTGGGGAAATTACTTGTAGGGGGGGAGGAAAAGGGGGAGAAAACAAGAGGAGAGGGGAGGAGAAAAAAAAGCAGCTCCCTGACTCTGCTCCTGTAGGGGAGTACAGTGTGGGACTGGGAAAAAAAACCTCAGCAACATAAGCACATAAGAGCACACTTTACAACATAAAAACTCAAAACAACTTGCATCGGGGGAGGTGGGCAAGGGGGGTGGAGATATCGAGAAGACCTACCAATGGCTGGAAAAGGCTGGACTCAAAGACAGCACAGAGGCACTGATCATGGCAGCACAAGAACAGGCCCTAGTTACAAGAGCCATAGAGGCCAAGATCCACAAGAGTAGATCTGACCCAAGGTGCAGACTATGCAAAGATGCCCCTGAGACAGTCCAGCACATAGTAGCAGGGTGTAAGATGCTAGCCGGGTCAGCATACATGGAGAGACACAACCAAGTGGCTGGAATAGTGTACAGGAACATCTGTACCCAGTATGGAATAGAAGTACCCAAATCCCAATGGGCAGCACCACAGAAGATGGCTGAGAACAACAGGGTCAAGGTGCTGTGGGACTTCAGCTTCCAGACTGACAAACAGGTCCTGGCTAACCAACCGGACATAGTGGTGTAGACAAAGAGCAGAAGAAGGCGGTGGTGATAGATGTGGCCATACCAGCAGACGCCAACATCAGAAAGAAGGAACACGAAAAGGTTGAAAAGAACCAAGGGTTGAAAGAACAGCTGGAGCAGATGTGGAAGGTCAAGGCGAGCGTGGTCCCCGTGGTAGTAGGAGCACTCGGGGCAGTGACCCCCAAACTTGGGGAGTGGCTCCAACAGATCCCAGGAACAACATCAGAAGCCTCAGTCCAGAAGAGTGCAGTCCTAGGAACAGCTAAGATACTGCGGAGAACCCTCTAACTCCCAGGCCTCTGGTAGAGGACCCGAGCTTGAGGATGACACAGATACCACCCCAAGAGGATGAGAGGGAAGTTTTTTTTATTTTTATATATATATATATATATATATATATATATATATATATATATATATGTCACTTTAATCTTTTAACCATCTTCAAAATGTGGTTGTGAAAATTTTTTCCACATAGATTAGCCTGGCACATAGCATATCTAAGTAGAGGAAAGGAGAAAGCTGACTGAGAGGTTCTGACTTGCCCAACTGTTATTCAAGCTCAGAGCAAAAAGGGGTGGGACTTAGGAAAGGTAAATTGTTCCGTATAATTGTTTTACTGTATCTTCATTTGACAGGTAAATTATAAAAATATGGATCATAGCTGTAACAGAACAGTGTGGTACCTTTTAGAAGCAGGGTACAGTTCCACGGTCACCACCTCGATGCCATTCCATGCAGCCACACTGACGCCACAGAACAGACACTGCAGGGCAATGATCGCTGATTGGCTGAAGCTCAGGAACAGGAAGAAGGTACAGCCGGCTGAAATGAGCATGGATCCACCTGAGGAAGCCACAAAATTCCTTTATTGAATCCTGTAGAATGACTGAATGTACTATATGTAACGTATATATATGAAAAACGAAATATACAGCTACCTTCAGCTGGTTAGTAAGAAAATCAACTCATAAGAAACTAATCTAACAACAATACAGTAACACTATACCCAAACCTTCTGGAAATCCATTTCCATAGGATGATTCTGAGATACTAGGTCAACAATATGAGATAGTACTATATCAAACTTTCAACCTACTAAGTCATAATTATGAGAAAATACAGTAATAGTTGTGACCTTCCTCAGTCACACTTTTGCATTACTGTAATATTATACCTTTGACTAAACATGATTATCTTTAATTTTAATATTACATTTCATATAACATTTATTCTATTGTTTGATCTTTTTGTAGTGGAATGGTTGGTATTGGATGCAAGGATTCTGTATCCGTTGTTGTTGTCCGTCGTTATCATCTTCTTCATGTTCATCATCATCAGTCACTACTATTAGTGTAGTTGCTACTGTTGTTGCTGTGCACCTGTCTGTGCCTGTCTCTCTCTGTGTCTCTCTCTCTCTCTCTCTCTCACCCAAACTGGTCGAGGCAGATGACCACCCACCTAGAGCCGAAGAGTGTGTCCTAGGTTTCTGCCTCTTAAAAGGCAGTTTTTCCTTGCCCCCGTTGCCAAGTGCTTGCTCATGGTGGTACTGTTGGGTTTCTGTAAATAATGTTATAAAGAGTTCGGTCTAGACCTGCTCTATTTGAAAAGTGTCCTGAGATAACTTCTGCTATGAATTGGCGCTATACAAATAAAATTGAATTGAATTGAATTGTATACATAAATACATGTAGCAACCATCATAGTCATAATCAGTGTTACAAGTTACTGAAAAATGTAATGTGTTTGTCTACCATCTTCTGCAGTTGGAGGCAGCAAGATGCTCTGACCCAAATTTATGAACGATATGGGTCTTGCATATGGGTGTGGCAAAATGGCTCGATAGCGCAGCAGCAGCGGCACTTTTCACCAATATTTATGAAAATCGGTACGCAAAAAAGCCTCTTGGACCCAAACCCAACCGGACATCGGCAATTTTGGATTTAGCAGGCATTTTGGTGCACCCATTGCTCTTTCAGAAACTCCTCATAGGGAGCTGATCGGATCGATTTCAAATTGGTCAGTTATTATGAAAAATTATCAAAATATTTTCGTCGAATGGTGTATCCACGGCATGGTTCAGAATTTCAATCTCAAGTCCCATCCTTAACACATCTACATACCTATATTCAGTCAGTCATAGCGCCACCTACTGACAACAAGAACTAAGCCTTGTATGGCATTAGTGTCTGATTTACTTGAAATATTCATGGTGTGGTCTACATGTGATATTCTGGCACATAACACAACCATAGCACGTCCCAACGCACATGAACTGTGAGGGCCCAATCATCAGTGCTTGCAGCTTTAATTTTAATTGAAATAATAATAATAATAATTTAATTTGAAAAGGTAATTTGTTGCAATACTAGTTAATGCCAACAATAGTGAAATTATAACTTTATAGCGCGTTACTCCCAACACTGGTCATAATAGTTGTACTCCTAATACGTTCTCACTCCCAGCTTCTAAAAATACAGCAGCTTGGTCAGGTCAGGTTAGCAATAATAAATATGCAACATCCGGTTAGACTTTCAAAATAAAGCTTGCTGAGAAGCATTTCACATTGTATGTGTTTAAACAGTTGCAGTTTGGTTATGTTTAGGGTCTTTTAGGAAGAGATTGTGACTTGGGATAAAATAAGAATTAAACGTAACATAAGTACATACATTTAAAAAAGTCAGCATTGACTTTTGGTTTCACACAGGACACCAACAGTGCTAAAGTCCAGTGTTGGTTAGACCCATCCATCCACCCCAACTTCTCCATATGCCGACCCTCTCGCTCTTTATACTACATCACTTTACTTCAACCGCAAATCAAAACATTATGCCAGACGGGCGCGTCCTCAAATGCCTCTAGAGGGTACCTACAGTGTTATAATTTGAAGCGTAGGGCCACTCACCAAGCTGCCATATTTGACGACTTGGGAGAGAGAAAGGGTCAACTCCATTATATTGAAGATTTGATCTGTGTATAGTTTAAATTGCACAGAGGAGGCAGTTTCATGGTCTGGGCGTTTACTGGAGTTGAATTGCTCATTCTATCTATCTATTCTAGTCTCCACAGCATGGCCATAACAGGACACTAATGCTGCATTCCCACCAATTACATACAAAGATGCCAAAAGACACAAATTCACGGTGGGTGACGCGAATGACGCCAGTTTGGTGACATGAATGGTGTGAACACACAAAATTTGGCCCATCTGCAGTTTCGAGTTGAAAATATTGAGTTGAACAGACTGCTGCTTGAGCCTGGGGGCTTTCAGTATCATTTTGATAAATGTATTGCAATTAAATCACAGAAAAATCTGTTATTTTAGGTTCATACTACCTTGTGTAAAGGAGGTAAATACATGTAAACTACTGCAAGTAATGCATTTAGTGGGAACGCACCATTAGCCAGAATTACTACTAAAACCTTACTTATTAATGCTGGTCCAACGCACTCTAGTATGGACTTTGCACTGTATAGAGAACTGTACAGGAATTACAACTGAAGAATATGTGGACCCTGTTGACTGTGAGGGTTTTAGGAATAAAATCACCTATGATCTTGACCCTGCCAATCTTCTCCATGAAGAGGGCTGAGATGATGTTGCCAGGCAACACAGCCAGGCTGCCCAGGAAGCTAACCAGGTAAATAAGATCGTCGTTCTCCTCAACGGTGTCCAGGTGGCAGCCGGTTTTGTTGTGCTCAAAGGAGGTGTTCTCCATCTTACAGTTGATGAACTTCTCTTCCCCCAGGTCTACAGAGAACAGGAAGACAAAGAAACATAAGCTGAAATTTATGGAAGAGGGTCAACTGTTGACCTGATCCAGAGAAACACATATTGAGGTTTTCTATGACAGAAAATATTTTATTTTCATTAAGTCTTCTCTGTTGCTGATATTTAGTTCTCTCTGCATTATTTACCCCCCTTATGTTCTGCTGAATCCTTTTAATCATGTACCTGAATTAATCAAATAATAAATTACTTAATTTATATAATCAATATATAATTTGTATTTAAACCCCACTTTCAAAAGAGTATTCTAGCTGGTTAACTGTTACAGTCTAGGAAGAACTCAATAGTGAAAACAGAATGGAAGGTTACAGGCCAGGAGCAAGGTCCAGCCCACAGCATGTTTTCTGCTACTTATTTTTCACTATTATTTCTTGTTAACTATGATAACCAAAGCAGTAAAAATATTGAAGCTGATTATATGTTATAATATGAGATATGTATAAGTGATTTTAAGTTGATTCTATGAGATGTGTAACATTGATTGAAGTTGATTATCGATTATGATTATAAAAAGAAATGTAATAATGAAAAGAGAAATCATATACGAAATGAAATGTATTAAGTGTATGAACCAAGATAGAAATGTAGCAAAAGGGGAACAAAGGGTCAAATCACGTTAAAATGTTGAGCTACGAGTAGAAAGGCACGCAGGCCACTAGACGTGTCCAGACTTGCCTGAGGCTAAGAGGAAGAGGGAAGTTAGACCATACCAAATAAGGAAGAAGGATGCATACACAGAGCACTGTGATGAGCGCAGGAAAAGGTGACGGCAGACAATCTGAAGAGGATAAAAGGAACAGCTCCGGGAGGATCGGGGTTAGTCCCCAGGGCTGGCTCTCGGGTTCAAGACTTGCTGATCGATCGACCGCATCGGAGCAACTCATCTTCAAACTTAGAATTTCAACTCAAGAGATAGAGCAACAAACAAGCCATCATTGCAGAAAGAGAAGTCCAACAACCTACAGCCAAGACGGGAGTGGCAGGCAGAGGAGGATTAACCATCTCCGCCAGGTTGCAGGTTCCAATTGATCACCAAGGATCACTCTTTCGTTCACCCTGCCATCAGAGACTGCACTGGTCAGAGACTTTGCGGACTTTAGACACAGTCGGGAGTTTCTACAGCAACCAACAGTACGGCAGGCGCAAAGGAGGACTGTACCGGCCATACACCCGTACAACCCTTCCCTCTCTCTCTTCAAGCTGGACATTCAACCCTTCAGCTTCAAGCCTTTCCATCAGGGGTTTGAAATTTAAACAATTATTTACTTAATGTTAGAAACATAGTTAATCATTATTAGAGAATGTGAACAATCCATTTTTGAATCAGTCTATGCTGTATGCTGGCCCTTGCTAAATCTTGCAATAAAAATATCATTGAAGTTAAAGAATGAACTGTGAACATTGGATTCATGATATCTCATCAGGCAGTAATTATTAGGTAGTGTGTTCATCAACTTAACGGTTCTAACAGGTTACTGTAGCCCAGGAAATTAAACTGACCCTTAGGGCTTACTTTCCAAGTCCCTAAAATAATCCTAGCAATTAACAAGTGTACAGATCACTAAGAGGAGAGCTGCCGTTAACGAACTTGTCTAGTGCATCGGGCTATTCGGTCGGATGCTGCACTAGAGTGAGCAGAGTAGGTGTTCGGACGAAGGCAGTTAGAAGCTAGGCGTGTCTCCTCGCCACCAGCTTAAATAGTCCTTTTAACCTAATAGGATAATAATCATAGGTAAGAGGCTCGGACCCTTTATAACGGAGAGCTGGTCCAGTACCACCTATACGGGGGTAACTCGGGATCTAACATGGTGGTATTACCTTGGCCTCTAGCACCACTGTCAGGAATCTTTGAGTTATCTTTGATCAAGACATGTCATTTAACTCCCACATGAAGCAGACCTCTAGGACTGCCTTTTTTCATTTACGTAATATCACAAAAATTAGACACATCCTGTCAGGGACGGATGCAGAAAAACTAATCCACGCATTTGTTACTTCTAGGCTGGATTACTGGTATTCCTTATTACCAGGTTGCCCCAATAAGTCCATTAAGACACTCCATGAGTACTCACAGGAACTAGGAAAAGAGATAATATCTCTCCTGTACTAGCTTCTCTGCACTGGCTCCCTGTAAAATTAAGAATACAATTTAAAAACCTACGAAGCTCTTCATGGTCAGGCCCGTTCATATCTTAAAGAGCTCATGGTACCTTATTACCCCACTAGAACACTGTGTTCTCTGAATGCAGGGCTACTTGTGGTTACTATAGTCTCACAAAGTAGAACAGGAGCCAGAGCCTTCAGCTACCAAGCTCCTCTCTTGGGAAACCAGCTTCCAGTTTTGGTGCGGGGTGCAGACACCCTCACCACATTTAAGAGTAGGCTTAAGACCAATATTTATTTATTCTTTGATAAAGCTTATAGTTAGGGCTGGCTCAGGTGAGTCCTGAACCATCCCTTAGTTATGCTGCTCTAGGCCTAGACTATCAGGGGATTTCCCATGGTGCACTGAGCTCCTCTCTTCCTCTCTCTTTCTGCACTCATTCATGTCCCATTAATGCATGTTACTAACTTCACTTCTTCCCCGGAGTTCTTGTGCTTTCTCGTCTCACAAGTTCTCATGGAATCTGGTGGAGCCTCCTGCCATGGTCCTGATTGACTCACATTGCTAATATCACTGATTGTTATTATTATTATTACTATTATTTTTATTACAGATACTATTATTACTATAATCACTACTCATTGTCCCCCATCGTTGTTGTTGTCGTTGTCATCGTCTTCTAGTCCCTCATCATCATCAAGTCACACTATTGTGTAGTTGTTGCTGCGTTGTTGCGTGCACCTTGTCTCGTCTCTTCTCGTCCTCCCCCCTCCCAACGGTGGAGGCGCACACCCACCTAGAGGTGTGTGTCCGAGGTTTCTGCCTCTTAAAGGAAGTTTCGGTCTAGACCTGCTCTATTGAAAAGTGTCCTGAGATAACTCCTGTTATGAATTGGCGCTATACAAATACAATTTAATTGAACTGAATTGAACTATCTTCAAGTCAAAGCATCTTTATATCTTTCTCAGCTCTGATTGGTTGTTTTTGTTCAGGCTTAGTTGATTCTTGCAAATGTCATCAGAAGCACTAGGAGGAGCCAGAGGAGCCAGAGGAACCAGATTGTTTCACAGATTATCTGTCTCATGTATACTACTGTCAGCATATAGTGAAAGTTTCAGCAAATATGACAAAAAATATTTTTATAAAAATGATCTGCAGCTTTAAGACAGAAAATTATGAATATATCCTTTGAGATCACTATCAAGACAATTCAGTTGCACAAAACAGTCACACACATACAAAGATACACCGTTTAAAACAATCACAAAGATTAAAATGTCAGGAAGTAGAACTTTAAGTAAGGCGTATAATAATATACCTTCAATAAAATATCTTTCTATCTGCGTTGGATTATTGAGATATCTTGTATCTCCATAAGCACCATAATAATTGTAAAATCATGAGTTATTACGGGGGGTTGCTTTTTTTTTAAATTTTATTTTGCTTTTTATTCGGACTCCTAACTTCTCTCTTTACAACTGGCACAATATTGGTACCTGGGAATGATGGCTTGCATGGGGCCCACTTGTTCCAACCTTGGCCCCATTGGAAACCCAGTGAGAGTTATTAAAAATATCAGAATACCAAGAAACTTCTATTAAGGAACCATTTATAAGAGGTAACTAATGGCTTTATAATTGGTTAAAGGTCCAGTGTGTAACATTTAGGAGGATCTATTGGCAGAAATGGAATATAATATTCATAGGTATGTTATCATTTGTGTATAATCATCTGAAAATAAGAAATTAGCTGTTTTTATCTATAGAGGGAGCGGGTCCTCTTGTATGGAGTCCACCATGTTGAACGGCCATGTTTCTACAGTTGCCCACAACGAACAAACCAAACACGGGATCTATAGGGCTTTTGCATTTTTCATGGCCACTTTAGTTTTTCCTACATGCTGACATGGCTGAGGTGCAGCTTCACCACTAGATGCCACTAAATCCTACACACTGTTCCTTCAACATACTAAGTATTTAACCTCTAACCTCTAAGATTTATTCTCATTTTCCCTGCTCCAGCTGAACCTACCTGTGTTACGGAAGACTGTGGAACGGATGGTGCAGTTCTCAAACACTGTGTCTGTGGACTTGATGTCCTCAAAGCGACAATTTTCGAACAGTGAGTCCTCAAACTTGACTGACTTCATCTCTATACTGATGAACCTATGGGGGTGGGATGGGGCACACACACAAACCAACAGACAAAGAAAACATGGACGCTCACTTCTGTTGTTATGGTAGTGCAGAATCAGAATGGACAGATTAGGGTCAACTGTGGTAAATCCAAGATGGCCACCACTGATAATGATAATATTAATGGCAATATTATTCAGTGGAAGCTGTGTTAGTACTGTTAATGTTTAATTGAAAAGATTTATTTAAATTCATTCTGTCTGTTTTAATTCTGCAAAAATCAATAAAACTCAATAAAAGTTCAATAATATACAGTAGTGTAATATACTGTATATCTGCACTGAAAACTGTTCCAATGCAAAGGTGAAGCATCCTTGAAGATACACTCCCTCATTTTGTTATAGAACACATCTATACGTTTCCTCCTAGCTCAACAATTCTGAGCTTCAACTGGGCACAAAAATGCAGAAAAAGCCACTGGCAATCGAGACAACCCAACGAACAAGAAGGGCTTACGTGCATGAAACCTTTTGGGTCTTGTTCATCCATCGTGGATAATTTTCAGGTTTCAAGCTCACAGACAACCAAAGTCTAAGCTGAGACTCATTTCACTTTGAGGACAGCGATGAGCCCAAAGTAGTGTTGTTGTATGCCATATTCACCCGCTGCATAGGTAAACAGTGGATCACGTTCTAACTACCAACTCATCAATCACTGCCGTTTGGTCAGTTGCCCTCTGCTTCAAAATACAACGCTGTAGGTATCTCTAGGGTCCTTTCTGTACTCGCAGGGCTCTGCAGTCGATTAAGCAACAATAAACGTGCCATGTCTGGGACACAAACAGCAGTCTCCTGGATTAATGTCTGTGTTTGTTTAAGCCATCCACCCACCCACCACTTCCATGTGTAATTTCTCACTCTTTATGCTGCGTCACATGACTTTGTCAGCGGGTGTGTCCAGAAATGATGCTAGAGGGATACCTACAGTGCCATATCTCAAAGTAAGGGCCACTGACTCAGTGGTATTATTTGACCGTGTTTAAACAGTGGATTACGCAAAGTGACTCTGTTGCTGATCCTGTGCAGAACGATCACAAAGAGACACATTGCTAGAAACAGCATTTTGCGCTTTTTTTGTGGTTTTTAGTCGTGTACCGTTCATTTCACACTTGGCCAATCAAATCAAGCAAGAGGAGGGCTTTACTGCTTTACCAATTCCTTACAGTTTTGATACCATTTACTATGCCAGTAAAAAAGTTTAGCTAGCTAGGTAGCTGTTGGACTGAGTTATGGAGCAGGAGCATTGTGGGAAGTAAACTCAGTTTCTCATGGTGGTACTGTTGGGTCTCTGTAAATGTTATAAGGAGTTTGGTCTAGAACTGCTCTACTTTGAAAAGTGTCCTGAGATAACTTCTGTTCTGAATTGGCACTAAATACAATTTGATTGAAAATTGAAATTGAATCTACTTCATTGAAATGAGGCTCAGAGGTCATCTAGAGCTGAATGTCTGCTTGATTTAAATTTTCTCCGTTAATCAAACTGTGCACACCAGCTGTTTTGCCCAACACACTTTGTCTTTGTGTCTTTGCATCTTGGTGTAATTGCCCACTTAGACTTCTGTTTTATTATCTGTATATGTCTGCATACACTTTTGTGCACAGTGGAGTTTTAACATTGAGCTTGGAGGAACTTATGGGATTTGGGGTTAAAAAATCAAAGGGTTTATCTTTACTGACTTCACCGACATGGATAGTTAACCTCTGGCATATGCATGTATACAAAATAAAAGTATGCTGTTCATAATATCTGAAAATAGTGATAAATTAAAAGTGTGAAGGCTTCATAAACCAGTCAAGGTTTACTATCTTCACAGTGTAATTCAATGCTTTTGTTGTTCTGACCATTAGCATATGCAACAAAGTGATTACCTGTAGACATATAGCTAATGTCTTATGAGTTCCAGGGCATCGCATACAACACATACAACAAACACAGCATGCAAAACAGTTTCTGATAACAACATAACTGAGAATGAAATGACTGATAGACCTAACAGTAACACTTCTGTTCCCTAGAGCAAGGTGTTAGTGGTCCTTTTGTACACGGTAAATGGGAAGTAATGCTGTCTTAAAAGATGAGGCTGTGACTCTCTATACCTGTCCTCACGCTGCTGACTACTTCCAGAAAGTTAATGATGTCGGTGCTGTTGTGCAAAACTATGTACTAACTAATATGTTTTAGCACACAGCACTACCTAAGACATTTTATGTCTGAGACTCAGAATGAGACTCAACCATCAACTATCTTTCTTGACTCTGATTGGTTGTTTTCTTTCAGGCCCAGTGGATTCCTGTTAATGCCATTAGGAGAACTAGGAGGAGCCAGAGGAACCAGATTTTTTCACAAATGATCTGTCTCATGTACTACTGTCAGGATATAATTAAAGTTTAAGCAAATATGATGAAAAATGATTCCCTACTTTAACTCAAAAGACCAAAAGACAAGATACACTAGAAAATGCAGTAGCTTCACTACATTTGTAATAAATATAAAATAAAGCCAGGGAAGTGGTCATATAACATGATTGGTTTTGGGTAAGTAATTTACTGAAAAAAGATCTTTATCTAATACTCAATGCAAAAATTGTCATTTTATGAAAACAACTAACAGTTTTTTACATGAGAAGAAATAAGATATTTTCATAGATATGCTGAAGAGTTTGTTACTTTGAAGGCTTATAAAGAGAGGATGAAACTAAAGTTTTTCATAATTCCTCATATATTATTATGGCAATGTGAACTGGACTTTTTAATTTGTCAAATGTTTCATTTGTGATTTTTCTCAACATTTCTGAGTGAAACTAAGGAAAATTAAAATACAGTATAGGTACCTCAAACCTGAACATAAATAGTTTTCTGTTCAGACGGTGACATAGTCACACTTACTCATCCTGGATATATTCCCCTTCTTTATGGATCTGGTTCTCTAAAGAAAAGTTAAAATGGAAGTTCACCACTCGCTCTTTATGGAACACCTAAAGAGAGGTAAAACAACATCAGTCAGTTTTCGTGGCAGATATTTATATAGTTATAAATTATAAATAATGTTATAAGGAAGTACAGTCTTACGATGGAGCATTAGGGCCACACTAAGAGAAAAAAATATTTATTTTTGGGGGAAATTATGAGAATAAAGTCATAATATTACGAGGATAAAGTCATAATATTAGGTCTACGAGAATAAAGTTGTAACATTACGAGAATAAAGCCGTAATACTTTATTCCCGTAGACCTAATATTATGACTTTATTCTCGTAATATTATGACTTTATTCTAGTAATTTCCCCAAAAAATAAAATATTTTTTTCTCTTAGTCTTTTTTTATGAATTTTACAAATAAAATTGAATTGAATTGAATATTTTTCAACCAAGCAATGTCAATTCAAACCAGTTGAGACAAAGCAGCAACAAAATGATCTGTATTGGTATGAGTTGCATGAATTGTTGTTCATCTCATAGTTATAGAAACATAGATACCTCATCGACAGCTGCTGAATGCAGCCACTATACGTCTGCGTGGTTGCCATATTGGGGAGGTCAAGTGGAAGTTGTAGCTATTCCGAAGGTAAATTTTTTGGCATAGAGCTGATTAGATCCAATTGGATCTGTACCTTGTAAATGAATTAATTCCAACAAGTAACCAGGTTCAGTTTCCCCCCATTTATAACAAACCAGATTTTCTGAAAAACAGTTGCAGTCTGCATCTCTCAGTATTGTTAACTTGACCTCCCCAATATGGCGCCGACGCACGTCAAATTGAGAACGTGTTATCTACATTTCTATGTCTGTGGTTCACCTCACCTTGACCTTGGACACATACTCCTCGTACTGAAGGTGTTTGATCATGTCAGGGAACCAAACAGACAGACCATAGTAACTGTGACAAAATGTAGACAGAGAGAAGATGGAATCAGCAAAAAGTGCATAAAACAACCAGAATGTAACTTCAACCCAAACAGAAAGACTGCTGCCTCTTTATCACACTGAGGATTAGATTGTTCTTTATCTACCTGGACGACGGTCTAATACATGACACTGTGGACTAACCTGAAAGCCATGCAGAACCAGATGATGGCCATGAAGAGTGTAGCAAACCTCAGTTCTGCAGACAGGAGAGACGCTACGTTCCTCAACACCTAAAGACAAATGTGCATACGTGAACTAAGTAACAAGTCCCACTACTGGCAATGCAGTATGCTCCCTCTTCACAGTTTCATTCCAAAATAAGGGTATGTTTCACAGTCAGGGCAGATTCTTTTACCTATTCATTAATCGTACAAATAGAAAACACCCTAAACCTAAAACCTATTGTCATAGTTTGGTGAAAACATCTGTCTCATTGTTTCAGGAACTAGGAAAATTATGAAACTATTATGGGACTTTAAATATTGGCATTGATAATCAAAAAACTAAACCTGAACTGAAAAAAGAAATATTGGTATTGAAAAACTATTGTAAGATGTTGTATTGGCACTGAAAAAGTTTCACCATCCAAAGTTGTGAAACTAACTAAACCTTAACCCAAAATTCCACTAGAAGCATCTCTCTGCTTTGCCTAGAATATTTCTATTTTTCACGAAAGGTACATGCATCCAATTACAGTGGTTCCACTTAAAACTTGTGAAACATGGGCTGGATAGCATCAGGAGTCCAAGATTCTCAAACAGAACTAATTTGGTGGAAAAAAGGCCTTAGTGGACCCAAGTGGGTTAATTTTGGGCCCATACCCACTTGGTATCCATGTAGCACAGCATAACCCATGTTGGCTGGGACCCTGTTGTAATTTCACAGACTTAGTAGGATTAGTGTGCTAATAAAGCCATACTGCAAATGGACTTACTACATACCAGTTTACAGAGTGTTAAGGAGCGTACAGCCCATCGTTGTACTGGTGTTCCTGTAGCACTCTGAATCTCAATGAACTCATCCTCTGCTGTTTTAGGAGCCTTGATGTGAGTCACCTGAAAAAAAAAACATTATTTAAATGAAATTCCTGTCACATTTGTATGAATTTTTGACAATTGGTTTACACTTTAAATTCAGCTCCGAACCTCTCTGTTTCATTGCAATCATAGTGAAAGACAAAATTGTTATTTCCCTGGATTTTGTGGATGACTTTGCATCATGGGATTCCCCACAATTTTGAATTATGAAAATCTTTAAAAAAGATTTAAAATTTGATCAATCTACCCTGAAATTTCAGTGGATTCTGGAACAGTGTTTCCTCTAGGATTTTTTATTTTTTTTAGCAGTGGGGGTAGGCCTGTCCGAACAACCCCCCCCCCGTCACGCCGGCAAACGTTTTACGTATGAAACAGAAGTGACACTTTGCTGCGACACAAACAAATATATTTACCGTTTTAATGTTTCTGGATGTTTGATATCAGGAAGTTGAGCTAAGAACTGACAAGTTGAACGTTTTCCAACTATAACGAACCCACCGCAGTGGCGTTTTTGGTGGAGCTGTTAGTTTAATAGTCGACTTGGAAGAAAGCGAACGTTTTGACAATAAGCTCCATCAACACAACAGTATGTGGAGTTAAACTGGACAGCCCCAATAACCTCTGAATAATTCTACTTGTTGTTAAATTGCAATGTGAGCGACAGAGGCAACGTCTGCCCCATTTCTGATAACGTGGCGGCAGAAATATAACAGCGGCGGGCCGCCGCTCCAAAATCAATATAGAGGAAACACTGTGGAAATTAAATGTTATAAAAAGTTTTGAAAATGTCCAAAATATCTCACCGCTCATATAGGTATGTTTTATACAAAAATAAATAGACAGTAGTACATGTCATCCCAATGGCATTTACAAGAAACAACAAAAACAAACCAGAGTCAAGAAAGCTAGCTGCTTGTTGAATGTCATTCCCTGGGAATCAAACAGAGATGCTTTAGGACCCAAAGTATCAGTATTTGTCCCAAAATATTGTTGTTGTTTTTTTATATTTTTAGTTTAAGTATGAAATGTGGAGAAATATGGTGCTGCACATACCGGACGGATACAGGTCATAGGTGTATTATAAAATCAGTAAAGTATTGGAGCGCTTTCTGCAGCTGTCTCCAGTGTTTCCGGCTTTTCTCCTCCTTTCAGCACAGAGATCAGTCCGTAATGAAAACTGCACAGCAGAAATACTGCAGTTTGTGTGGCTTTAGTTAGCAGAGGTGCACACAACAAAGCTCTCCAATATCCCAAACCAACTTTCATGTATTTTGCTTCCTATACTTTTCTATAGTATCATATAATCTGATGAAATGTCCATCAAAATACAACTATTAATGTGACACAGGCAGGAGTGAAAGGTGTTAGGTTAAATATGAATCTTAAGGCGTTTTCACACCTAAAAGTCCGGACCAAGGTCCGGACCAACGTTGGTGTTTAATTACATTGTATACATTTGATCGTGTTATTTTCGGTTTCACATAGTAATTTTGCTAGCGCACTAAAGAACTTTCCATGACATACCTACGGCGTGTTGTCACCACGTACGTGTGTTGCGTCTCCCTTTGATTGGTGAGTAGACGGGCGTGCGTCTGACGTTGGCGTGTTGTTATTTTGGTGGGTAGTCTTTTCCGTATGAATGAAAATGAATGAGCAAATCCCGATTGCGTTATTATGGTATTACTACCAACATAAGCATATAATCTCCCCCTCTCCCCACGTACTTCCACGACTAATTTTTGCTTATTCTGGCGGGAGTTTTCTTCCGTTTTTTTTCTTCTTCTTCTATGGTACGTATGCCTAACTTCCTGTAATTGGTCCGAAAGTCCGAAGCATCCAAAAAGTGTTTTCATACTGTAAACGAACCGAACCATGGTTCAGTTTGATCCGGACCAAGACCACCTCTTTAGTTCGGACCAAATTTTGGTTTTTTGATCCGGACCGTGGTCCGTGGCACCTTTCTCACCTACAATTTTGGTTCGGACCAAACTGAAAAGTCCGAAGGTCCGGACCGAATGAGGTATGTGTGAAAACGTCCTAACAGTAACACTGTTTGGGTGTCACTGAATGTATCTGGGATTAGACATCAGTACTGATGATGACTGTTTGCTAGCCACAGCTGGTTGTGTGTCAAATTCTTTTCTTTGCCTTTGACCTGAGAGTCTTTAAACACACTTAAGATTAATTAAGAGACAAAATACAACCCCTTTGCACCTTACTTTACACCCACAACATTTATTTTTATTTTCATTTATTAGGTTTTTGATTGTATTGTTTTTATTGTATTAATTTTTAGCTTTGCACAATTTTTATTTATAATCATTTTGTTTTTATGTGTTTCAATTTAGCACTTTGGGAATTGAGTTTTATACGCCCTAAATGCTCCTGCACCATGCACTTTAGACCATGTGCTACAGATTGTTTAAATAGGGCCCTGATTCCTCTATGGATTAAACAAACAATCTTGTTAATTAGTGACATAGAGGTGATGGTAGGTTAATTTTTCTTTGGTCCAGTCTTTATGCTAAGCTAACGAAAGAAGAAAGGAAATAAATTCTCCTTTAGTGAGGACAGCTGCAGTCCCCCTAACATAGATGACAAATCCTGTCAAATGGGCTGATCCTATCTGCACTTGGTATCTGGGCAGATAAATGGTCTATGCTAGCATTTGCATGTTTGATGCTAAAGAGAGAATCTAGTAATATGAACTAATTTTCTTAATCTAATCGCTTTGTTTCAGATAATAACGGCTGCATGTCAACATCTTCTGATCAAAGGTAGGGAAACAACATATCTACCTTCACCTCTGCCTGTTTACTGTCAACACCTTAGGCTAAACCTTGAATGTTCAGCTAGTGGCACAGTCCATTATTTATTATTTAAGCTTCTTTGTACAACTGTACAACTGTGCAATAAGCAAAGACACACAGGGCACTATTGTACTGAATGTCTGCCAGGTGGCCCAAGCCACACAGGGTAACAGCCAGCAACGAGGTCTGTCCTGGTGGAAGAAAGGCGTGGCCAAGGGTGGAGGATGGTTATATCCTGTGGCCTACCAACCAAGCCGTACCATGTGCTGCCATGTTGGAGGGGGATTTTGGGTTTAGTTTGTTTTACTTGTAGTAGTTGTAGTTGGCATCCATTTTGTTTTCACCTTGTGGGTAAATTGGTTTGGCCAAGCCACTATATATGTTCCCTTGTGTCTCATTCAGGCAGGTCAGTTTGTTTAGTTCATATTCTGTCTGTTGTATGCTGTTTTGAGTATAGTTATATTTTGTTGACCTCTTTTATAGGCCTAAGATGTTAAATTCTTGGTTTCTATTGTTTGGTATTTTTGGGTAAATAAAAAACCCCTATTTTTCAACAAACTCCTGGTTTTCCTCATTGCTTGACTGTTTGGTCCCTGACATTGTTAAAGGATATTATTACAGAATTTGGATGCCACTTGTATCTATTCACTGCAAATCTGTTCATATCTGAAGAATGTATTTGTCAATATGTTACATGCATTTGGGGTAGCAACGTGTACTCACAGTGAAGACTTTTTCTGGCTGTCCCTTGGCCCTCCAGTTGGTGTCATGGACCTGCTTCAGGATCATCCATGCCTCATCATGCTTGGCATTCTGCTCATCATACAGCAATTATTAATAATATTAATAATTCCATCACCGTAACACACAGCAGCTTGTTTATTTGCATTTCCTGTATGTATTGTACACACATGCACACTCTAACCACCATAAGTTAGTAGCAGTGAGCACTGAAACTGATGCAAGGGCAACATGGTTCGCCCCAAATATTAAAGCAGTGCACAATAAGTATACATGTGTAATACATTACTGATTTGTTCCTGGGTTAAATTGAATTGTCTTTTACAATATTTAGGTAGGATGGTTCAGGTTGAAAGCTGCAGTAGCTAACTTGTATATAAATTACCTTTTTTCATATTTGCCAAAACTTTAATTATTTCCTGACAGTAGTACATGAGACAGATAATCTGTGAACAAATCAGGTTCCTTTGGCTCCTCCTAATTCTCCTAATGGCATTTGCAAGAATTCACTGGGCATGAACAAAAACAACCAATCAGAGCCAAGGAAGATAGTTGATTGTTGAGTCTCATTCCCAGGGCGTCAAATACAGACACTTTGGGACTCTGATGAGACTCAACAATCAACTATCATCAAGACTCCAATCATAAGTGTCTTTATATCTTTCTGAGCTCTGATTGGTTGGTTTGGTTCAGGCCTGTTGGAATCTTGCAAATTCCATTAGGAGCACTAGGAGGAGCCAAAGAAACCTGATTTTTTCACAGATTATCTGTCTCGTGTTCTACTGTCAGGATATAGTGAAAGCTTCAGCAAATATGAAAAAAAAGTTATTTTCATACAAATTACCTACTGCAGCTTTAAACTCTGACTATAGAGACTTGACTCAAACTGAAGAGGCCTTCAAGTATACAATTCTGGCAAGCTCAGTCCGAACTGTTTTTAGAAGTGTCTGAGGCTGCGAGTGGAAATACAATAAAAAATTACCTACTCCAGCTTCAGTGAAGCCCACAGAACCATTTGAACTGCAGGTCCTTCACTGCATCCAACAAGTGCTACATTATAAGTCCAGTGTAAACATTTAGTCTCACCTCCAGGAGGAAGCGAGGACTCTCGGGCATGAAGGTGAGGCCAACCAGAGAGGCAATAGCAGGAAGAGCCGCAACCAGAACAAACACCCGCCAGCTGTGGAACTGGAACTCTGTGCCCATACTGAACCCCCAGCCTATACACAAACACACAAACATACAAATTCTTTACACACATGACGATATTCTTGGGACAACATTGATACCAATTGACCCTTCCAGTCAACTTCCTCCTTTCCTGTACTTAGATATGCTACGTGTTTGGCTCAACTATGTTGTAAAGACAACCACATTTTGAAGATGGTTCAAAGATAAAAGCATCTAATCTACATATAGTGTAGATTAGCTAGCTAGACCTGCCTCTGTATGCCAGCATTATCTCCAAAGGTTGAGAAGCCAGTGTGGGATACCATTTTGGGATATTGGTCAGTAAATATGGTCAATTGTATCTAGACAGTTTGGTTGATCAGTCCATTCCCAACGAATTCTAATCGTTGCTCAACACGCCTCTATTGTAGATTTAAAATGAGAGTAAATTGAGAGTGTAGATACCCATTAAACGTACAATATGTAATTTCTGCTGCTAGGTGGTCTTTCAGACAAAGGACGTCCCGGAGGGGCTGCAAGCTGAGCTAATGCTAACGTTAGCTCAGCTTGTTTCTCTGATAACTTAAGATCCAGACGTCCGATGACTAAAATCCTTCATCTGGTTCAAATCTAAAGTTAAAGAGCACCAAGCTCTAAACAGTGGATGGTAAAAATGTGGCTTCAAACTGGATAAAAAGTCAATGTATAGCAGCTTCTGGCAGACAACCACAACGCTGACGCATGCACAAAGGGGATATGACGCCACTGACAGGCGACCAGTGAAACGCAGCATTACTTGAATAAAATGAAACATTTTGGTTAGTTAAAAATTTCTAGCAAATGTCATTTCATCAGATCTCTTTCTTTCCTGTCTGTGCATAAACTGACGCTACAACCCCAGGGTTGAAAAAACTCTATATTAGACATTTGCAATTACCTACTTTCCTCACTAGCAGCATTAAAGGAATACTGTTCTTTCTTAAAGTTCTAGTAGAAAACAACCAATCACAAGTGAGAAAGATGAAAAGTTGCTTTGGGTTGATGGTTTGAAAATCGCGATTGTTCCTAGCATAGATATGGCAACCAGGGAATGAGACTCAACAATCAACTATCTTGGCTCTGATTGGTTGTTTTCGTTCAGGCCCGTCGGATGCTTGGAAATGCCATTAGGAGCACTAGGAGGAGCCAGATGAACATGATTTTTTCACAGATTATCTGTCTCATGTTCTACTGTCAGGATATAGTGAAAGCTTCAGCAAATATGAAAAAAAAGTTATTTTCATACAAATTACCTACTGCAGCTTTAAACTCTGACTATAGAGACTTGACTCAAACTGAAGAGGCCTTCAAGTATGCAATTCTGGCAAGCTCAGTCCGAACAGTTTTTAGAAGTGTCTGAGGCTGCAAGTGGAAATACACCTCAAAAATTACTTACTGAAGCTTTAATGAAGCCCACAGAACCATTTGAACTGCTGTTCCTTCACTGCATCCACAGATTATCTGGCTGAACAAATGTTTTATTTTTTATAAAAAATAACCTATTACAGTTTTAACTGTCTGAACTAAGTTCTTACCATATCTGGGTATGATTCCCCAGGCAGTGAATGAAGCATAGATCCCACCAATCATCCAGAACATACACAACCAGGACAGATGCTCTCCTCTCTTGTCCATCTGAAGGAACTCTGAGAAGTACGAGTAGACGATCGGCACTGTGCCACCAATACTGAGGGTAGAGAGCGGTAATGAGAAAATAAGGAAAGTGAGCAGAGATAAGCATAAACCAGTTTTTATTAATGGAGGAATAATTACAAAGAGAGATAGACTTTAATACAGATGCATTGAACAAAGCCTTTGCTTCTCTTGTAAAACTGTTCAAGAACAATAAAAAGCATTAATGTTGGTGTAGGTGTGTTATATGCAGCAGAGAGAGTACATATGACAAATCATATTATCTACCTATGAGCCAAGCAGTGTTGTGGTGCAAACTGTCAGTGGTTGTGTATCACTTTCACTGTGCTGTGCTCAGTATGTGACCTCCTTTCTGAGTCAGCATGGCTCCCTGTGGACTACAGTTATTCTGAGACGGAACACTCTGCTGTGTCACTGCAAAGAAACACGAACCAGACTCTGCATATGGATTGTGTGGAGCCTGATTTGCTGTATGATTACCATATTAACAGGCTGCATTAATGGCTGAAAACATTCTATAATACATATGAAGCCTTTAAAAGACCAGTTGAATTGAAATAATGCTGCAATATGTCATACATTGAATCACAGCAAAAGGGAATACTGGTATCCAGAAATGTTTTAAGGTGAAAGCATACTTCACATACTCTGCAGGTTAACACCAAAATAGTTTTTAAGGGATAACTTAAATGGTAAATAGTAATTGGTGTCAAGTAAGTTGAGATCCCTGATCCGCTAAAACCACTTTGGAAAGCAAAGAACTTTCCATTGAGTAACGGAGAAAGATAACAACTGAGCATTAGGGACTCTCCATCTGAATAACGCAATGCACAGAGATTATAATAACCAAAAGCTGTATAATAATTGAAGTTGATTCTATATTACAAAATGAAATATGTAACAATGAAAGGAAACATGATTATATGATTGTAACTGATTATTTGATAATTAGTGAGGTAGAGTAAGGTCAAGAGAGCAAATCATGTTGAAGTGTTGAGTAACTAGGTGAAAAGGCACGTATTGCAACCAGACATGTCTCGTGCGGACTGTGGAGAGAAAAGGGGAAGTTGAGCGCACACACAGGACATGCATCTTTTGAGGAGCAAAAGAGGAAGTAGCACAGCCCAAACCGAACAACCCCCAAAAACAACCCCCACGACCACATCGGAGCAACGTATCTTTGAACTTAGAATTTCAACTCAAGAGACGGGGCAAACGAACAGCCTAACATCGCAGAAAGAGGAGTCCAACCACCTACAGCCGAGACGAGAGTGTCGAGCAGAGGAGGATTAACCATTTCCACCCGGCTTTAGGATTCCAATTGATTTCCAAGGATCACGCTATTGTTCACCCTGCCAACAGAGACTGAACTGGTCAGAGACTTTGCAGACTTTGGGTAAAGTCAGGAGTTTCAACAGCAACCAACAGTACGGCAGGCTAGGAAGAACTGTATCGGCCGTACACCCCACTGTACACACTGTAGAAAAAAAATAGCTAACCAGCCAACAATTGCTGGTTAGTTAATCTATATGAATTGTTAAAAGATATATATATATGTACTCACATCTTAAAGGTCCAGTGTGTAACATTTAGGAGGATCTATTGGCAGAAAAGAATAATATTCACTGGTATGTTTTTATCAGTGTATCAGTGTATAATCCCCTGAATATAGGAATCATTGTGTTTTTTTTATTGAAATTATGATTTCAAATGACAAGGTCGAACAGTGCAAACATTTTTAACATATCCCTCCCTCCCTCCCTCCCTCCCCCTGGCGGCATCCCCCCTCCCTCCCGCCTCCCCTCTCAGTCTAGTGTCTTACAACCTACTGAGTACCTTTATTCTGAACTGAGCAGGCCCGTCAAGCCACCCAACCAAACCTTGTGTTGTTTCTCATTCAGCCCCAAATGTGAATCATCATTGAGCAAAAGGAGAGTCGGCTCCAGAGGTACAGGCTTATCAATCATATTAGATAAAGTCATTGTTACCTTCCTCCAAAAGCCATAAACCTCTGGGCAGTCCCATACCATATGCCTAAATGTTCCCGGTGTGTTCAGGGAGCAGAAGTTACAGTTCGGGCTGGTTGACAGCTTCATACGAAATCTCAAAAGTGGTGTCAGATAGGCCTTCTGACACAACTTATAGTGAATTTTATTTATGTCCTCCTCCACAACAGCCAAGTCTCTAGACCATGCCTTGGCCAGGGGTAGCTCTTTCTGTGTGTGTGTGTGTGTGTGTGTGTGTGTGTGTGTGTGTTTGAAGTCGTGAATACACAACTGATACGAGTCCTCTAGTGTTCGTTGTGGATAGCCAGTCTATCTGCAGCTTAGATTAGTCGGAGGTACAGAAAGTGAGATGTCGTTGGTAGATTAAAAAGAGAACACAATGTCTGGAAGCTAAGCATACCCCTTGGGTCAAATACATCTCCGAGATTGTACACTCCCTTTGAGGACCAAGATGCTGATTCAAACGGCTTATTCCCTGAGATAAAATTCTTGTTCCCCCACAGTGGAGTATTCAGATGCCATTTCCAATTCCCCCCCAGACTCTTCTCAACCACCTTGAAATTTCGTATTGAATTTTGTAATAATAGGCCCAAAGTGTAACATGCATTGGTTGATAGTAAGTCAAGAAAATAAGACCCCTTCGAGTTTGTATGGAAGCACTAGCGCATCTTCTATATCTCTCCAGGCTACCTGAGAGGAGCGGTCAAGTCATGTCTGAAGCAGGCATAACTGAAAGGCCTGATGGTACCTCATAAAATTTGGGAAGGCCAGCCCACCCTCTCGCTTTGATCGCTGTAAGGTGGAGAGTTTAATTTTGGGATGCCCACTATTCCAGATATGTTTTCGTTGCAGGGAGTCAACTCTCTTCCAATATCCCGCTGGAGGAGGGAGCGGAATCATCATGCTAACAAAGTTGAGGCGAGGCAACACGTTCATTTTGACAGAGGCAATCCTTGTTTGCAGTGAGGCTGGTAATTTAGTCCAAACAGCTATGTCACGTTCCACCTCTTTAAAGATGTTTTCATAATTCGTTTTTACTATATTATGCAGTGAAGGCTGAATCTGGATGCCCAAGTACGTGATCTCTGTTTTAATGGGAATGTCATAAGGAAAAACTACCGCTTTTGCGGGTTCATTCAGGGGCATCAGAGCTGACTTCGTCCAGTTGATCTTATAGCCGGACAACATCCTGAACTTTTCAAAAGTGGCTAACAGAGGGGTATTGACTTTTCGATATCCGACAAGTAGATAAGTACGTCATCAGCAAAGGCCTAGGCATGCAACAAGGTTTTAATCCGAACAGGAGCAATGACCTGGTTCTCCCTCAGATGTTGGGCTAGCGGTTCTAACGAGAGAAAAAAATAAACTTGGCGAGAGGCCGCATCCCTGTCAGGTCCCACGAGAGATGAGAAAGGGGTTTGAGTGTAAGCTGTTCGTGGACACAATGGCGGTGGGGTTAGCATATAAAACACAAATCATGTCAACAAACCCTCTCCCCAGGCCAAATCTCTCCAGGACCGCCCACAGATACTGCCACTCGAGCCTGTCAAAGGCCTTTTCGGCGTCGAGTGACAGTATTGTGCAAGGAGTCTTTAATTGTTGAGTTTCATGAATGACCTGTTTTAGGCGTTGGATATTGTCCGCTGCTAGATGCCCTTTCATGAAGCCAGCCTGATCCTTATGAATTAGTTTGTCCATGTATCTCTCCAAACGTAACGCCAGCACCTTAGACTACAGCTTCTTGTCTGAGTCAATTAAAGAAATCGGTCTGTAATTGGGTCAGTTTTGTCCTTCCCTTTTTTAGGGATTAGCGAAATCAGGGCGGCGTTAGTGTGAGCAGGGAAAGAGCCTTTTTCAACCGCTGATCGGATCGACCCCAACAAAACTGGCCCCAAAATACCCCATAAGTGTAGCAAGAGCTCTGGCGGTATGCCGCCTGGGCCCGGCGATTTCCCTTTATTTGTCATCCTAAGCGCATTCTTCAGCTCCTTTAAGGATATGGGAAGACCCAGATCTGTTACTTCCTGCTCCCCTAACGTGGGCAAATCTAGACTGCTCAGAAATTGACGTTGATCTGAGTCAAAATTAAGCGCTGATTTATACAACTCCATGTAAAAAGAGTGGAATGCAACATTCATCTATTTTGGGTCAGATGTAAATTTATTATTAGCCGTTTTGATGGTATTGATTGATGCTCTGGATTCACTTTGCTTAAGCTTCAGCGCCAATAGCCTGCTTGGTTTACTTCCGTTAAAATAGTAGCTCTGCCTGACTCTGTGCATGATGAATTCCGCTCGCCTCGTCAACAGATCATTAAGCCCCACCCTGACTCCCCTCTGTTCTTTTTCCACAGATTTAGCGTATTTACCCTTTAACAGCTTCTCAAATATATAACACTTTCTTTCTAACTTGCAGATCCTGCGGCTCCTCTCTTATTTAAGGTGAGATGCATAAGAGGATGTAAAGTCCCTAATACAGCCCTTGGTGGCCATCCATATATACGAGGCATCATCTACTGTGCCTATATTATTGGCTACGAATTCCGTAATCCTTTTCCTTAATTGTGCTACAAATACCTCATCCTGCAGAAGCGTCGTATTAAAACGCCATCTAGGTGTTTTACTGAATCTGTGACTAAGATCTATCGTCATCAACAGCGGGTTATAGATAGTGTTGCCAGAGGAATCATTGTGTTTTTGTTACCTTAGAAGGGGCTGTTTTTATCTACAGATGAATTGGGATGCCTTCCATGCAGTCCGCCATGTTGAACCACTTAGTTTCTACAATAGCACAGAAAAACCAAACACTGGCACTAGATAGGGGTGTTCGCGTCTTTTGCACATGCTTGGAAGGGGAGGGTGAAGCGAAGAGTTGCGATCTGCAACTACACTAGATGCCTACACACTGGACCTTTAAGTAGCTAACTAGCTAGCTTACGATTGATGTAGATAAGCTAAATAGTTAGATAATGTTTTGGTAACATTAGCTAAATTCTCAGAGGGTTTTGCTGCATTGGTTGCATGTTTGGACTCAGGACTTCAATAATTCTAAAGAACTGGCAACAGCGCTGCCTGCAGTATGTGGATAGAAAGCTACACTCAGTTGTTCAGGATACAGCGTATAAAGCAGAAATATAGTGGACTAGCCTATTTTCAAATTAAAACCTTGCTCAGTACAGCTTTGAAAAAACATGTTTGTGAACAATGATGTTTAGCTCCTAAACAAATTTACATGTTAGCGTTCACCTAACAGCAACTGTATGTATATTTTGATTCAGTACATTTAACGTAAGTAACGTTTTTTCTGTCAAATTTCTTATACAACTTATTAATAATGGCAGATTCACATTTCTGTAAAGGGACACTTTACAAACATTCACTGTGTTATAATGTTATAAAGATGTGATTCATTTTCCCTTTTGCTACATACAGTTCATGATGATATACTGTTAAACAGGGTTTAAGTGGAAACAATAGATCTATCAACTAACTAAGAGGAAGAGTGTGTGTGTGTTTGCAAATGTTACCCAATGCCAGACAGCAGCCTGAAGAAGAGGAAGAAACCGTAGCCCTGGGCGAACGAAGACAGGAAGGCAAAGATGCAGTTTATAGCTAACGCCACAACCAGACAGCGCCGGCGGCCAACTTTGTCTGCCAGACCGCCCCACAGGAACGCTCCCACCATCATGCTCAGAAAGACCATCAGACCTGCAGAGACAGAGAAATACAGATTGTCTGTATTTGTCTGTGATTGTCTCACATCAATCACATGAAGTTACACAATTAGGTATTTATAAAAATCAGAATCGAACACAGCCTCTGAGACGAACAGGGAATTACAGTCACTCTATTGAAAATGTACTAATTTAGATTGCTTGCTCATCCTGTCTTATGCTCATAGTCTTCACATGATTCAATATATAAACAGTCTTCTGCTGTTGGCCATACAATCATGTTCCGTCACGGTTGGTTAAGTAATTGATTTGCTGTTTTGTTTAGCTTTTAAAAATAATTCCTCAGAGTCTTCACTCACATGCTTGTACAAAGTCAGGTATGTTACTATACCTCAAGAACAACTCCCAGGGTGTTGTAAATGGTAAATGTTGTGCATTTATAGAGTGCTTCTCTATATCGACAACTTCAAACACTTCGCAACACATGCCAAAATTCACACACACACACACACAACATCCATAAACTAATGGCAGAGGCAGCAGTGCATAGTGTCAACACGAGCGGTTATGGGTTAGTGTCTTCTTCAAGGTCACTTTGACATTCTCTCTGGAGGACCCAGTGATCAAACTGAAGAATTTTCCAAATACTAGACAACTCTTCTACCTCCTGAGCCTTGCTGTTGCATATTGTGGTAGTTCAACTGTATCTTTTCCAGACTGAAATTGTCCTAGATCCTCTGAATGTGTTACTTCCATTCTCTCCTTACTTTTCAGTTCAACCTATCATTTCTACATGATATGAATATAATTTATATATAATCTTGTGTGCTCAGTTTTCACAATTCAATTCAATTCTGTTCAATTAAATTTTATTTGTATAGCGCCAATTCATAACAGAAGTTATCTCAGGACACTTTTCAAATAGAGCAGGTCTAGACCAAACTCTTTATAACATTATTTACAGAGACCCAACAGTACCACCATGAGCAAGCACTTGGCGACAAAATTAATTTTTTTTTTTTTAATAATTTTTTTTTTTTTATTATTTTTTTTTTTTTATTTTTATTTTATTAATAAAAAATTTTTTTTATATATTTTAATTATTTTATTAATTTTTTTTTTTTTTTAATTAAAAAAATAAAAAAATTTTTTTTTTTTGTTTTTTTTTTTTTTGGTTGGGAAAGCCAATCTCCTATCCTTTTTAATAAATTTTATTTTTTCCTGGGCCTAATTTAAAGAAACAATAAGGAAATAGTTTATTTTGGAGGCCACAGTGAGGTTAAATAAAAAATTCAAATATTTAAGCCAAAACATGCCTGTTAAAAGGCAGAAACCTAGGACAGATCCTTTGGCTCTAGGTGGGTGGTCGTCTGTCTCGACCAGTTGGGGTGAGAGAGAGAGAGAGAGAGAGAGAGAGACAGAGACAGACAGGTGCACAGTAACAACAGTATTGGCAACGGCAATCTAGCAGAGACCATGGCGGGAGACTCCACCAAGATTGATAAGAACCTGTGAGATGAGAAAGCATAAGAACTGAAGTGAAGTTAGTAACATGCATTAATGGGACATGAATGAGTGCAGAAAGAGAGAGGAAGAGAGGAGCTCAGTGCACCATGGGAAATCCCCCGATAGTCTAGGCCTATAGCAGCATAACTAAGGGATGGTTCAGGACTCACCTGATCCAGCCCTAACTATAAGCTTTATCAAAGAGGAATGTCTTAAGCCTACTCTTAAATGTGGAGAGGGTGTCTGCCTCCTGAACCACAACTGGAAGCTGGTTCCACAGGAGAGGAGCTTGGTAACTGAAGGCTCTGGCTCCTGTTCTACTTTTAGAGACTATAGGAACTACAAGTAGCCCAGCATTCAGAGAACATAGTGTTCTAGAGGGGTTATAGGGTGCTATGAGCTCTTTAAGATATGAAGGGGCCTGACCATGAAGAGCTTTATAGGTGAGGAGGAGGATTTTAAATTCAATTCTACATTTTACAGGGAGCCAATGCAGAGAAGCTAGTACAGGAGAGATGTGATCTCTTTTTCTAGTTCCTGTCAGTACTCGTGCTGCAGCGTTCTGAATTAATTGGAGCGTTTTAATGGACTTATTGGGGCAGCCTGATAATAAAGAGTTGCAGTAATCCAGCCTTGAAGTAACAAATGCATGGATTAGTTTTTCTGCATCTGACAAAGCCTTCTAGTGCAGGGGTCTCAAATTGGCTTGGGGTCACTGCTGGTACTGTCATCCTATAGGAGGGCCACTTCTGAAAATATTTCCATTACTAACATCATACTTAATTATAATGTAACCTAAAGGATGAGGTCAGTCAACAAAACATTGGACATTAATGAAGGAGACTGCTGCTTGTTTCTCATCTCCACATTACAGTCAAGGTTTTGCCCCACCCTAACCTTTATCATTTGTTTACTATTGTAAAAACTAATGACAAAGGTCCCCTAACCTTAACAAAGTACTAATTTGAATCCAAACTATGATCTTTCACTAAAACCAACCAAGTCATAAACCTAATGACAGGACTGTGCGAACGTGTCTTTTCCTTTTTTCTTCCGTCAAGTTACTACTACTGTACACTGAGGTCTTATGGGGGGAAATAGCTGACTTGCGTGATGTGAACACACTCAGCTTATTTTGGCCCTAAAATTTCAAGACCTTGATGTGCAGCGTTTTTCTGCCTCCGCTAAGTATAACCCTACAGTAACTGGTGCCAGAGACTGGCACGCTGGCAACACCTCAGTATGCAGATGGCCATGCAACAGGGGAGAGCTGACTGCGTGACTAATCATATTGGGTCTCAAATAACAAAACCCCATCTACACATACTGTACAAAACAAACAATGCACATGAAGGCTTTCAATATGACAACATTCTATTCCTTGGCCTGGGTCTAGTGAGGATAACGTATATCTCTTTTCAAACGGTGTCCCTGATATATGGGATATCACTGAAACGCTGTATAGCTCTTTCCAAGGTCAGGACAGAGAGTACCGATCACTCCGGCTGTGTCTGCTGACTCAGAACACAAACACAGACACACAGTCTTGTTGAAAAACACTGCTCTGGTCCAAACTAAGGTAGTTTGTGAGAACAAAACAGTAGAGAAGATTGTGTAGTAGGAGAAAGACATACAGAGACAGTGGGGAAAACAGTAAGAATAGGTTTGGAACGCAGAAGAATCAACTGCACCATATATTGAATATTTGAGAGCATAATCAGTCTATAAGTTTGCTTTTTCTTCTCAGCCCTCAGTCCAAAAACTGGGAGCCCACCATACTTGTGGGGTCCGAACAGCTTTGTGTGACAGTTTAAAGGGCTGTTTGAGAGTTAAGACTCAGTTTTAGGGTTAGGGTTAGAATTAGGCTAAGGTTGCAGCCACTTCATCGACATCTTCAGGTAATTGATTATCTAGTTGGTTAAGGTGTTGCTGGAGATAAGTGCGGTGCTAGAATTCGGGATGTGCACGATTAGTCAACTAGTCTTATAAACATTGCTACCCTCTCTAGTTCGTCAGACAAATTCTAGTCGGTTAAACTATTATTAATACTTTATTGTACATTCATTGTACAACACCTCAGGAGACAGTCACAGCACAGCAGCCATCCCGCTCTGTGCTCAGATATGAACCAGCGAGGGAGAATGTGGGAAAAAGATGGCAGTGCGGTTTGTCAGTATTTTGATCTAGTAGAAAATAAAAGTAAGGTTGTGTCAGACATAAACTTGCATATAACCACTTGACCGGAGCAATGCGTAACCACATTCATCACGTTGGACATAGGGACGTTAACCTACAAGCAGAGCAGGCTGCTGGTGCTAGCACTGCTAACGTTAGCCACCCTCAGCAAAACAAGCCGATATTGTTTACTGTCCCAACACACAGACGCTGTGATCCCAATCTCAACTCTGTGGTGTTTCCGGCTGGTTTACTGGCTATTATTAATTATCATTTGATTGATAACGTTTTCAAATGGCTGTTAAAATACAGGTAGTATTTTTTTGGATCAAATAAATTGTGCGCAATTTTGGCTATTTCTGATGTTTTTTACTTTTAGACTAGTGGAATAGTTTGAAATAAAATTAGTTGCCAGGAACATCCCTAGCTAGAACAATCAGCCATAGCCATAGCTCCTTATTGTAAAGATACTGCTTTGAGTTATTTGAGTGAAGAGCCACTTGTCTTGTTATCTGATAAATGTCCGTTAACACAAGCACTGGATCTGGATCATGTCTCTTTTTAAGCATTGATCTGTTCAACTGAATGGTCACTCAGTTAATGAAGAATTCTTCACATTCCTTCACACAGGGAATCTCTGGAAAACACATTACAACTTGTGTTTCTCTGTCAAACCCTCAGAAGAATATACAAGCAACCAGAGAGAATCAAAGCATCACAAATCCCCCTCTACTGACAGCACCACAGACTTGACCGCAGAGAAACTCTTCTCACAACGAAACCACACCGTAAGCAACAATAAATCATTAAAGCCCTTACCCAGCATTCCTTTCTCTGCGTTGGACAGACACAGATCTTTTTCTGCAGATGGCAGAACGAACGCAACCACAAAACATTCGACTCCATCTGCCATCAGAGCCAGGCCCAGCACCACGAAGAGTGTCCACTGGAACTTCCCATGGCCACAGTCCTCCATGATGTCCTCATACTGTTCGGATAACTCCTCCAGCTCAGAGACTGCACTGCCGGCTGCTCGAGTTTTAGCCCTGGCACACAGAAAGAGAAAAAGAAATTATCTGAATGTGTTTAACACTGGAAGTACTCTTTGATTCCTTTTACATTGTCATGTGCATCTCTAATTGAAAGATGTCTGGTTGTTGTCATCAGATCAAGGTTTTCAAGCCCTTAAAAAGTAGTGTAAAAGCGCTTTGAGTGGTCGAAAGACTAGAAAGGCTCTATACAAGTACAGGTCCATTTACCATTTACCATTTAAAAAGGAAGATAATTTAACTGTGATTGGTCAGATGAAATGTTGCTGAAAATCTGATCCAACCATAGTACAAAATCTTTGTGCAAAGCAAAGTCATGATTAAAAGGACAGAAACTGGGGCGAGTGACAGTTAAATACTGCATTCAGAGAGTTCCTTCAATGTTTCCTTCAGTGGTAAATCTGGCACTGCAGTTTTATCTTTTATTCCCTCAGTGAGACGTAGAGAAGATGAAAAAAACTGACTGTTATGCATGATTTTAGCTGTGATTTTCCAGTTTTTGGAGAGTGTAGACAAATGTTCCCAGATTGGAAGATCAGAGGCAAATTATGCTTAATCCTGTGAGGACGAGCGCTCTGTGTGAACTGTTCAAAGACACAATCAGAGGGCTCAACAATGCCTCGTCTGTATTTGACGACCTGGGAATGAGAACGGGCTGTAAAGTGTGAGAGAAACAATGGTGGTCATATAATACCAATACTTTGGTTTATCTCAAATGGCTTGTAAAATAGTGCATGTAGCTACTGTAAAAGTCCACAGAAGTTTTGGGCAGTGTACAATGTCTGGCTTTGCCCATGTTCAGCACTTCTACTTCCCGCATCCATGGAAGGGTGGGGACTAAGAGCGGCGGGTCTGTGAAGGTTGAGAAAATCTTGGTTTCGGAGCAAGTTTGGGCCTAAAGTGAGGGAAAAGCACCGTCTGCAACCATACATTTTTCTGGTACATTTACAAAGAGAACAAACGTGCATCTCACCGTGCAGCTCTCTGTGCAGCCTTCACCTCGTCAGGATGCGGTATCCCTTGATATTCTCCTTCGTACATCTGATCCTCTTCATCATGTCCCTCGGTTACGTCGCTTGCTGCGTCCTCTTCCTGGGGAGGGTAGTCCGCCTGGTATCCATATCCATCTTGGTCACCACCTTTTCCGTAAGTCCTGTAGCTGTCACCCCCTCCTTGGTGGTATACATTGTTTTGGTAGGGGTCAGCCATCTTGGCTTACTAGGCCTGCAAGACTAATGGCTAATTTGACAACAAGTAAAAGGTTTTTGTTTAGCTTGTTATTTAAGTCTAGTTTGGTGTTAAATTTCAGAAATCAGTGATTGAAATAAACTTGCAGTTTGATATTTTAGTTAAGCATGATTAGCAGAAAAGTGCAAACTATGCTAGCATCACAGTCATTAGTTACAGTGACTGTGGTCCTCTCACTGGCTTTTAAGGTAATAGTGAATAATGGTGTTAACACAAATTCACCCACCAGTCGTGATCTGTTAGCTAAGAGCAGATATTCTGAACATAAACTAGCACACTGTGGAACTTTGTGTAGTAATGTGTGTCTGTCTCAGCTCCAGGTTTTAGCTGTTGTGGTGGTGTCGGAAGTATCTTGAGAGTCCTCAGACCTCGTCTTCAGTTTTTTTTCCTGAAAACAGAAAAATCCAAGTTAGTTTATTTCTCAGAGCAGCCCATCTGGGTACTACCGTCTAATTTGACTGGAGGAAAGTATAAATTCTGAGGTCTTGCCAGTTTAAGAAAGGCGCTATACAAGTACAGGTCCATTTACCATAGCATATCTAAGTTCAGGAAAGGAGGAAGTTGGCCGAGGTTCCAAAAGGGGCGGGATTTAGTAAGGGTCAACTGCTGCGTACACAGAGTCTAATGTTGCAGACTTTAATGAATGCCACTTTTACGTGCTATTCTTTCATGTTTTAATGTGCTTAACTAGTTCAACTTGATCTTGATGTCAAGCTGCCATTAAGTTGTGTTTGTGTACACATACATTACGCACACATGCATTTACACACAATCCTAAACCAACCAGAGCAATATCAGCTTGAAATGCTCCAAACACTGTGTAACGTAATTAAACATTTTTTTTATTGCAGGCTGTCTGAAGGATGGACTAAAACACAAAGCCCATGCTGCTCATATGTTGTTTACATTTGATGGGATAAAGGTTCCTCACTGGCCAGATTTGTAGTGTTCATTTTTCATCTGCATGACAGCAGAAACCCTTTCAGTGTAATGTTGTAGGGTTTTCAGTTTGTAAAACTTTCATTTAAACCTGCCTCATGCTACTTTCCCACCTTATTCAAACTCATTTCCGTATTATGAGTAAGCACGATATTTGACCTTCCCACAGTGATCTCGTGGTATTTGCCCTAACTCATTATCAACCATATTGAAAAATTATAATTAAAATCCAAAATAATTAAATTACCAATTATTATAATTATTACCAATTAAAAGTAATCAGTTAAAAGTAACTTCTGTGTTACTTTTAAATGTCTGCTTCAATTCTCTTATTAATGCACACAGCTGTCAGACATAACAATTACAGAATAAGCCCGCAAAATCCCGTAGAGACTGGTTAACCAACTGGACAGTTCAGACAGACACTGCGGAGCTCCGTGGCCAGCATGTGATGCAGCGCCTCATCTATTTTTTCCATATACGAGCTGCGATCAAGACAAAAAAAAAAACAGTGCTGCAGCAGGCAGACCACACTGACTAGAACAGTGCGACAGGAGGTGGGACTGAAGAAACCAAAACTAAATGGAGACAGATTAAATTTAATTATGTGTGTAATACGCAGGTTCAAAAGCATTTTTTGTATGTTTTGAACAGATCAAAATTCTGCTTTATGTGTATATTTGCTTAGAATTTGATCCATTCATACCTTTTATCATTTATCAGAGAAATGTGAGTAGTTTTTTAGAAGAATACTTCTCTTTTATTTTTTAACACCAGTAGTTTTACTTGTAGCTGAGTGGAGTTCATTTAACAGCACAGATTGTCAGTACTCTTTCCACCACTGGGCAGCAATAACTAACCTGTTTTGGAAAGACAGTACAGTTCCCTCAAGCAGAGTACTGGACCGTACCAGCCTACTGAGTGTATATTATGTAAAATAAAATGTATTCCATGGCAGTTTTTCTGCCTCTCTTCAGTTTCCTCTTCAGTGTCATGCATCATTGTGCGCTGCTTTTAAAAGAAAGGAAAAAACTGGTCATCACTGAAGCCTGATGATCATATTGATGTATTCCCCTGTATTTCCCTCTGTGCTGCAGCTACCATGCCTCTAGGAAGGAAACGACCAAGAACTGAATGCTGTTGACTGCACTTTGGAGCCATTAAACAACAAAAACAGAGCCCGGGGTGTCTTTACTTTTAAAGCTGCCAAGCATCCATAGCTCTTCAGGAGCTACATGTAGCAGGGATTTAGAATTAATGAATCCATTCAACAGGGATTGCAAGGATACTGAACAATCCTTAATGACACATACAGTAGTTACGGTCCTACTACCTTCTTTTCATAGGCGTTAGTGTGTGTGTCTGTGTGTACTTTATGCATTTATTTTCATGTTTATTTCTTTTATCAATATCCCCTCTCAAAAATTCTTACATCACATAAACTAATTTCCATAGAAACGACAAATTATAACCAATATTAGGACAGACAGACAGACACATAGATTCACTGTTCACTTTGCTAGCACAACACATTGCCACACATCACATTATAAGACAATACAACATGCAAATCCAGCACAGTTTTCCTATTAAAGCGGTACTCCAGACATTTAATATTATGCTTCTAGTTATTGGTGGACAAAGAAGCTTTAATTGATCTACAGTTTTTCTTGGAACGGTGTGAACTGTTTTCAGTGTGTTTATCTCCTGTTGGTTTAAACTGCAGCAGAAACTGTAGAATCATTTTGATGTGCATGTAGGCACAAAGGTTTCTGCGGTTATTTTGATAACAGTCTTGTGCTTGTCGCAGCGCACCAAACTCAGATCAAACTGTCAAACTAGGCAGTGCTGATCAGATACAAGCAATATTCTGTTACTGCATTGCCTATTTCTCACTTAAAACTTATTTCAGAAACATATTTTAGTGTAGCTGTAAAAATTGCGCAAACAATAAGCGCAGATCAACTTGCAGTACATCACGTCCACTGGCTCACACTGGCTCCGTCTAACTGTCATGCCAGCAGCCAAAACGCAGAACTTGAGGCTTCAAAATGGTACTCCACAAACCAATGGGTGACGTTACGATCACACTTGGGTATAATTAGTGTTAAACCACACCTGTAGCTCATACGGTAGCTGCCAGTAGTTCGTCACAGGATGCTGAACGGTCTGAACCACTGTGGTTTTAAGATCTTTATTGTTATTTTGCACATCTGTCTTACTAACAACCAATAGAAAACACAAAAAGAGGATGAGAAACCTAGAATGAGATAGAGATAAGAAGAAAAAGTGAAAGAAAGTCTGATATGACTCAGCAGTGTGGATTATTTGATTGACAGCTGAACATTGATGAGCAGTGATCCAGCCATAGGTTGTTTTGTTGTTGATAGCTGGCCAGGAGGAAATTAAAATCTGGACAGGCCGAGTTAGTCTGTTCCCCATCGGTCCATCTCTGTCACATGACTGATGCAGCTTTATCAGCCTGTATTGACTGTCTCTCTCCCAATGGCGATTCTGGGGGGTGGCTAGGGTGGCCATTCGTCCGGCTTAAGGCCGGACAGTCCAGCTTTCAAATGCTCTGTCCGGCTGCAGGCGCAGCCTTAAGCCGGACACTCATTTGTCCTCCTTTTGAGAAAATAATAAAAAAGGTCTGCCTTTTGACGCATTACCTCGTCAGTTTAATACTTATTGGCTAAAAATGTGTGTCAAAATAAGTAATTTCATTGGTTACATTTTCGTGTGGTGACCTATCAACACATGGCTAATTTTAATATTCAAATGAGCCATGTGTTGATTTGCCACATCACCTTGCCACCACCAGGCTGTCAATCAAACTCTCAGTGACAGAGAAGTAAAGTGAGCTAACATCGGTTGTTGGACTGAAATTCTGAAAATGCTCATACTCATATGTAGATAGGCAAAGATATATATACATCTGAAACAGAAGGTGCTGCATTTTTTTCCCCTTTATCTATCCAGATAAAAACATTAACAACAGTTTCTGTATGATGTTTATTAGACCTATGTAATCTGAATTGGAAGGGCACGTTGTCATGAGCTGTATCTTGTATATTTATTATTAGCTATGTGGTATGTGTATGCACCTTTATGTAATCTGGTGGAAAAACAAATTAAAATTGAAAACCGGATCATACCAAACAAATATCTGCTTGCGTGTCCCCATGTATGCAAAGTGTCCTCCTTTTTGATGTGAAGGAAATGGCCACCCTAGGGGTGGCCACCCCAGATCTGATAGGTAGTTGGTCAAGTTCTTCAACACAAGAAACAAGAGAAATGCTGTTAATCAATGATGACAGCTGATCAACTGATTTAGGCCAGTTTTAAAATTTTTAACTAACACAGTAATGGTCGTACTGAGGCTGTGAGAGCTGATTTCTGCTCAGTGGACGTTTGGCCATGCAGGTCAGGTGACCCATGAGAGGAGCACGCTGGTCCGTGAAACAGGAGGACGGTCACAGTTACAACATCAACAATACAAAAACGATAAAAACACTGAAATCTGTCGATTGAGAGGTATGGTAATTTAATGTTTAGTTATACCGTAGTTCCCTCTGAATGTGTAGGAAAACTTTATCTAGCACTAAGTAGCAGCTAAAAGTCGAACTGCAAACCAAGTTAAGCATTGAACGTTAGCATTTTGTTTTTTTAATTGTTATTTGAATACCGCCATGAAATATGAAACGCTATTTTCTGGACTGAAGACTGAGGGTGTTTTTTGCAGATGTGTGTGTTCAATAGAGCTAATGTTATATTTTTGGCCAACCAGTGCGTGAAATGTAGTGTGACAGTCTAGATTTAAGTAGCTATAACACAAGAACAAGCTGTGACTTATTTATTTGCTCTGTGATTTAAGGGCTGTTTAAAGACTTTTCTCCTGGAGATAAAGTACTTTTTGTTTGTATCAGTTAGCTCATCTTCACAGTTCACATATTTTTAGACATTTAAATAGGCAGAGGCAGTGCAAATTGCATTTAAATGCCACAAATGCTTGAGATGCAATATGTGTTAATTGTGTTATTAAAAGTGAGTGGTAAGAGTGGTAGTTATTACGTAGGTAGTGCTGTCAGTTAAATGTGTTATTAACGGCGTTAACGCAAACCCATTTTAACGGCGTCAATTTTTTTATCACGAGATTAACGTTTGTTTAACTTTGTAGTTTTTTTCACATGCTGTTGCAACAACTAGTAACGTTAGAAAAACTACAACACCATACCGGATCTAGATAGACCAGAAACAAAACAACAGGCACGCCGCACACACTTGTTTAAGAGTAGTAGACGTTACGTTTTGAGTGGATGGCGAGTGTGAGACGCCGAAATGGATGCCAATAACATTCTGAATGGAAAGTTTACTTTTAAAAAGTTGCCAAATGGTTCCATTGACAAGACCAAAGTGATCTGTGTGTTTTGTCGTTGTGAACTGAGCTAT